GTATGTCTGGTCAGGTTGCATGGACTACACCAAGGATCGCTCAGTATTGTTGCTCTGTGAGGGAGTGTTCAGACCTCAGTGTGAATGTCTGCCATTAGCTGAGTTTTGTATCTGTCTAGGCTCTCACCGGATATCCACCATACATGTGATGTGGGACTCAATGATTAACTGGCCTTGCAATTAGTTCGTCAGCCACTATAACCAGGAGAGACATGCACAAGCAAAGGAGGGCCCACCTGCACAACAGTCAATTTTCCTGGGAAGATATACCACCGAGGGGCCAGAGCAGCAGTATACTGGGTAGGATGTTTGCCTTGCATGCAGCCAACTTGGGTTCAATTGTGCATCCCTTAAGATCCTCCAAGTATCACCAGGAGTCATTCCTGAGTGCAGAGCCGAGAGTAACCCTTGAGCATCACTGGGTGTGACACAGCCACCCTATACTCCGCAAAAAAAAAAAAAAGTAAAAAAGATACGCCACTGGCTGGTGCTGTGGCCCAAGCTGAGTGCTCCAAGAGCCTCTCCTTTCTTCTCTTTGAGCGTAGACTGGTTTGGTTGGGTCACAAAGGCCCAGGGCAGTTGCCTCCATCACCTTGGCTTTTACAATCGGGGTCCACTGCAGATGCTTCCTCTTATCACCCCTCTTGTATCTTAGTGTCAGGGATGGGCTATGCTGGTGAAGCCAGGGATCCAAAGGCAACGAAGCCCCAAGGAATGCTCACAGCTGCCTCAGTCTGTAGCTCAGCTTTTCGGTTTGGTCCCATTCTCAAGCTGGCAGGTAAGGCAGGTGACTTCTGGCAGCAGGTTTTTATTTTTGTTTTTGTATTTTTCAATCCTTTTAGGTCACATATGGTGATGCTCAGGGTTACTCGTTACTCTGCACTCGGGAAATCACTCCTGGCGTTGCTCGGGGAACCATATGGGATACCGGGGATTGAACTTGTGCAAGGCAAACGCCCAGCCCACTGGATTATCACTCCGGCCCCCTGGCAGCAGGCTTTGTTTCAGACCTTGTAACCTAAGGTTTGAAGGTGGTGAAGTGTGTGTGTCCCAGCCCAGCAGTCTTCTTTCGTGGAGGCTGCCAGGAGGAGCCTGCAGGATGACCAAGCAGGGCAGCTTGATTCTTCCAGGTAACATTCTAGAGCCTCTCCAAAGATCATGGAGGAGTTTTTGAGCCCTTGGGAAACCAGGTCCAGCTCCTCTCATCTAGATTTCGGATCTTCCCATTCACTGGTGAATCTTGTCCAATCCAAGGCAGAAGGCAGCACCCTTCAAGTCCAGGCAATACCATGTAGCTATGGGAGGGAGGCAGCTAAGGGTGTAGGGACTGGGCATTGCTTCAACCCTGCCATAGCTTCATTTACTTGCTTGCAGTCTTGGATGGGGTGACAGTCATCCTTCCCTGGCTTCCAGACCAGCAGAAAGTGTTCCAGGAGGACTGAATAGGCTGCAGTCTATGCTTTCCCTTGCTACCTTGGGGAACTGGGCATGGAGCTGTATATGGGGCTGCTTGGGGTTTCAACCACTAGGGGTTGGCAGAGGGCCAGCCTAATCTTTCCATCTTCGGCCCAGATTGCCAGAGTAGCTTTCCAGGAGCTCTCCAAGGTGGCTAGGTGAAACAGTGGGTGCAGTTACCACTCCTCAGGTGAGTGCTTGAGTACTAAGACTACCGGCTGGTTCCCCAAGTCTGGACAGGAATGGATCCCCCCTGTGGTGCATTCTCTGGACTCTACAAGGGGCATGACTGAGATTTGCAGGTGACCCCAATAGTAGTCATAGTCTGATTGGTCTCTGGCACTACTGGTCTCATGACAGCCGATGTGGCCACCTGTGTTCACGATGAAGTATGCTTTTACTTTCTTTGGTTTCTGGGTAATACTCGGCAGAGCTCTAGGCTTACTCCTGGCTCTTAGCTCAGAAATGATTCCTGGTAGGCTCAGGGGAACATAAGGGGTGTTGGGTATCCAACCCAGATCTGCCGCCTACACAGCAACTGCCCTGCCCGCTGTACTACTGGCCACCGATGTCCATTTTCTGCTCCTTCTTATTCACTGTGACCAAGAGCTCCTGGGGGACAATTCATATGGAGCTCTCCTATCTAAATCTGGAGTGTAAGAGTCTTACCGCCGGGTCACCAGTGCCTTTGTCCCTTGGTTTGGTCATCTCCCTTTCTGGGAACACTGGTTTCCCCCCATAACCTTTATTCTTATAGTAGGAGTGCTTCTCTCAGCCCATCAGCAGTGCTTTCCTTTCCACACCCCTTCTGTGAAGACCGGTGGGCCTGCAGTTGACCTGCTGCAGCAGAGATGAGTATATTAGCTTAATGATTGGCCTTCTTGGCCTCCAGAGTCCTGGTTAGCCACCACATCGAAGACCACACCCAACAGTTCATTCCTGCGAAGCCCTTGAGTTCTTGAAGTTTTTCAAGTAACTGGATAAGTCTGAAAAGATGGAGAAGGTTAAGCTAAAGAGAAGTTGAACATAGTCTGATTGTTGGGGTCCTTAGGATCCAACGAAGTATAGATATGTTAAGCCTCACAGTTTCTCAAAATAGTCAAAATGCATCTCATTCAGCTTCTACCTTGGTGAAATTTGGGGCATGTTGACGCCCATGCTAGCCCCATGTAAGTTAGTAGTCTTCATGAGGTCCTGGAAGTGTGCTCTGGCAGGAGTGTTGGGGTCCCAGAGTCATCATTCATCAGGTTAGGATTGTTGTGCCCATCCTTCTGGGTCCCTCTCTCTGTTGGGGTCTGGGCTCTGAGCTGCTTGGAAAGTACAAGACCACTCCTCAGAGTTGAACAAGGTTAGGAGTAGGTGGCAGTTTTCCCAGGAGGGCCTGTGGATCTGCAAGAATTCTAGGTCACCCCAAGGTTTCTGGCTGAATAGAAGACTTCGGAGACAGAATTCAGGAGGTGGATGGTGGTGAAAGGTTAGTAGATAAATACGGATACCTCTGGGTAGATAAACATTGGATACCTCTGGGGCACAGCTACTACATCCTCGTGAATAATCTGCGTAGGTTGGAATCGGAGGGGCACAATGAAAACTGTGGGGTTCCTTTCCTCCTTGGGGCAGTCTCAAGTTTTTGGAGGCCAGTGCTGAACCAGAGTGGGTTAGAAATGAGGAATCAGAGGTAGCTGAGGTTGGTGAGATAGGGGTGGAGGAGGCAGCTGGGAGCAAGGGTGGCTGGGGCCTGAGGAGATAGAGGTAGGGATATCTTCTGGTGCAGAAGGGAGTACCATGGGATCGTCAGAAGGCTCTTAAGTGATCTGAGAAGGGTATGTGACAGTTTCAGCCTCCAAGGAGACATGGCACTGGCGAGTGAGATGGTAGCATAATCAGCCCAGAGGGTCCATGGCCAGGTTCAGCTAAGAGTCAATGTAAGGAATTTCACTGGGATGTCCAGGTCCGCCCGAACAAGTGTCATGCACATGGGAAATAGTAAAAACATCGAGGTTGTTCTATTGACCAATGGACCCTAATGGCTGGCCACACCAGTTGGCAGAAGGTTTGAAGGGTCAGGGGCTTCATTTTGACCTCCTGGTCTCAGGAGAAGCCATCCTTGAAGTTGTGGAGCATCACCTCCAAGGTGGGCCTTATATTGACTGGACCACATGGGGAAACTGTATGTGCCTCACCCCTTGAACGATGTCACAAGAGAACCAGGAAAGAGATCTGGGGGTCTCTTCATGCAGATGCCCATCTGGCTGAGTATTCTCAGACTCTTATGGCTGCCCTGGCTGGCTGCCCCGGTGTTGGGCTGAGTGTTCCAGTTCCCAACAGCAGGCTGTTTGGAAATGCCCACTAATCTCCGACTTTGTACATGGAAACGCAAATTAGGATCCACAGAGGATCCTGAACCTGTCTTCTACCCTCTCACAGTTACAACCTCAGACATACAGCCATGTCAGTCAAAACAAGCGAGCTCTGACTTGCAAGATCATCCTGGCTGGTGGGTGTGCATCACAGGGCGTCCTCCCATTCTCAGGAGTGAGATTTCTCTGGCCTTCCTACAGAAGGGCTTCTCTGGGGTGCTGTCTTTGGGGGCACACCACCGTGTCTTTCCTGGGCAAATGGGCGACTTGTAATAGACCCCAGTGGATCCCAAAGCGCAGGGGTCACCCGGGCCTCCACGGGAAGAGGAAAATCCCATTCCCAGATGAAGAGGAAGTCAGGAAGGAGGCGCTTTCATCGCTTTTCGTGCCTCGTCAACTCAAGCAAGCACTCTCATCGCACGTTTGTAGAGTGGAGGTGGAAAGCTAAGCGAAGGGGGGCAAACCTCGGAATTCTGCGTACCACGACCCCAGAAGGCAGAGGCACAAAACACAGGTTGAAGTCTGACAACCGGTAGCTATGGCAATGACGGAAAGTTGAAGCTGGGCGGGGTGGATTTAGAAGATTATTTGCTGTAGGGGTTCAGAAAAAAGAGATTTCACAATTTCACTCAGGTTTTTAGAAAACAACCGATAAGCCCTCGCCCGTCCCCGGGGCCCGGGGTCTCTGCTCCAGGGCTTTCGAGTGGTCCCCGCGGCGGCCTCGCGCCGGCACACGAACGCCGGCGAGCACAGGCCCTTTGTCCTACCAACTCCACCACGGCCTCCGCAACCCCAGCCTGCCCCGAAGCCTCGCGGACACACTGCTGGCGGGACGAGGACGGAGGCCACACGGACGCTGGGGCCCGCAACTCCCCGGGAATCTCCTGAGAGCGTGGGGTCGCTGAGGGGAGCGGACGCCGCCGTGAGTTGGGGACCGCGTTTAAGCGCCTTGGTCGATCGGAGCCGACTCCTTCCGGATCTTGTGCGAGCCGCCGCCGACTCCTTCCGGGTCGGAGCTCAGGCAGCCGCCTCGCGCCTGCGCCGCGGGGCTCCCTGGGTAACGAGCCCGCCTCCGCCCGCTCAGGGTTCCGGCCGTGGCCGCGGGCTCAACCATGACAGGCAGGTTCCCTAGCCAATCGCAATGCGGCGACGCCGGGCCGTCCGCGACGGAGCCAATGGCTCAGGCGGGGCGGGGCGCGCCGGGCGTCAGGCGTCTCGCGGAGCCGCCCTGCCGGGAAGGAGCCGAGAGAGACTCGGCGGCACAAAATGGCGGCGGCAGCGGCGGCTGGGGCGGCCGGGGCGGGCGCTCCGGGCTCCGCTCTCCCCGCGGCGACGGCCGCGGCTCCGGCCTCGGGCAGCGCAGCGCCGGGCTCGCAGGGGGTGCTCATCGGGGACCGGCTGTACTCCGGAGTGCTCATCACCTTAGAGAACTGCCTCCTGCCCGACGACAAGCTGCGCTTCACGCCGTCCATGTCGAGCGGCCTCGACACCGACACCGAGACCGACCTCCGCGTGGTGGGCTGCGAGCTCATCCAGGCGGCGGGCATCCTGCTGCGTCTGCCGCAGGTGAGCGCCGCCGCCTTTGTTGGGGCGGGGCGGGGTGGGGCCGGCCGTCCCCCACCGCCCCGGGCCATCCTCGGTCCACTCCCCACCGGCCCCCGCCGCCCAGAGTGCCCCCCGCCATCGCCCATCCGGGCCCCCATCGACCCGGGCCCCCATCCCCGAGCCGCTCTCCGCTGTCTCCCCGCCGACCTCGGGCCCCGACCCCCGCCGACCCGGACTCGGGGCCTGTCCTGCGAGGCAGGGCCGGGAGGTCAGTTCCGGGCACCCGGGGAGGCGGCGTCCGGCCCGGGTGGAGACGCTGGTGAGCGGGGCGGACCGGCCTGTCTTGCAGGTGGCGATGGCGACCGGACAGGTGCTGTTCCAGCGCTTCTTCTACACCAAGTCCTTCGTGAAGCATTCCATGGAGGTGAGCGGGCGGGCTGGGCGGCGGGGTGGTAGCCAGGGCCCGAGAGCCCCGAGCTGGTGTCACCCTGTGCTCGACCATTCCGCAGCACGTGTCGATGGCCTGCGTTCACCTGGCCTCCAAGATCGAAGAGGCGCCCAGACGTATCCGGGACGTGATCAACGTCTTCCACCGCCTCCGACATCTGCGAGAGAAAAGGTGAGTTTCAAATGTGCCCGCCGCCTCTGAGTTGTGTTCTGGTCGACATTTGGGGGTGGATGGTCCCAGTGGGATTGTTCCAGCAGTAGCATACCGCCTCTCCATGGCCCAGTGGCCGTCTGTGGTCCTGGCATAGCTGGGAGGATCTTCCGCCCTGGGGAATAGCCGGCCTGTGCTTAAGTGTTGGGCTTCCCTTGGTCCTCTGGTTTCCCCCTTGCTTGTCACCCATCACTCCCCTGCTGTTTAGCATGGCTTGTGAAAACCCTCCCTCCTCCCCGGGCCTGGGCTTCTGGGGGAGGAGGCCCGTGAGTGCTGGAGGAGAGACACAGATTCGTATGGGTGGTGGTTTTTGTGGTAGAGTCCTGCCTTGGGAAGGCATCGGTGGTTTCACAGCTCTGGGTTTCTCTTCAAGGAAACCGGTGCCTCTGCTGCTAGATCAAGACTATGTTAACCTAAAGAACCAGATCATCAAGGCCGAGAGACGAGTTCTCAAAGAATTGGGCTTCTGTGTCCACGTGAAGCACCCTCACAAGGTGGGTATGAGCCCCTGCCACGGCGCCACCTCTGGCGGGTGGGGCTGTGGCTTTCTCTGGACACAAGACTGACGGCTCTGAAGAGGACCCAAGGTGTCACCTGATGTTTATAACCTGGAAGGGATGAGCCTTGTATTGTCTGTTGTACAATTATTTGGTCTGTTCATTTTTATTGGAGTTTTAGAGTTTTGAAATGGCATCTTTTACTTGGGTCTTGAAAAATAGTTGATGAACTTAGAACAACAGAATCTTTACAGTTTTCATCCTCCGCTCCTTACGTTAGTAATAACAAAATTCTGCTTAGGGTAACTGGAAGTATTTTGAACCCTTTTACTTTGGGAGTGAATGAAGCAGTTTTGTGACATGTTAGCTAAAGAGGGAGCATGGCTATTCTCCCGCACTGAATACTTCTGACACTTTAAATACAAAACTCTCCTTAAAAGAAGCTGCTCTTTGGGGCTGCAGAGATAGTACAGCAGGGAGGGCGCTTGCCTTTCACACAGCTGCTGGGCTGATTTCTGAGTGCAGAGTCAGGAGTAATCCTTGAAAAATTTCTGGGTACGTAAACTGCTCTTTGTGCCTCTGGTAAGGAAAGCCCTTTTATCTGGGATTCCTTGTATACTTTCTTGTTTGACTGTATTTTTTTTTTATCCTTTATCTTTTTTTGGGTCACTCTTGATGATCCTTAGGGACAACTCCTGGCTCTGAACTCAGGAATCACTCCTGGTGGTCTTGGGGGACCATACAGGATGTAAGGGATAGAACCTGGGTTGTCCACATGCAAGGCAAGTGCCCAACCTACTGTATTGTTGCTCTGGCCCCTCATTTGACTTTCTTATGGTCAGATTATTGCTTGTGGGGCTGGAATATGGCTCAGTAACAGAGCACTTGCTTTGCATGTTAGGCTCAGAGTTTGATCCCTGGCACCGTAGAAGGAAGCGGGCCACACTACATTTTTTTTGTGAATCACTTGAAATTTAGAGCTTTTCTCATGAGCCAAAATTTTCATGTCATGTTTAAGTTAGTGCTTGGTGTGCACAGATACTAGGGCAGGCTAAGCACGCTGATGGAAAGCTGTCGGAGACAAGAATGAAAATCGGCCTGTTCCTTCCATGCTTGTGTACCGCCAAACTGCCAGAGCGGGTAGCCGGGGCCTCAGCCAGAGACCCTCCAGCTGTGCAACGCTGGGCATGTGACCAGGAGCCACTAGACCTAACATGAGGCTCTTAATTGCTGCATGGACACCCTCAAGATCTGAATTCTACTTTCTCAAGGTTCTCGGTAATAACTGCCTGACCCGTATCTTCCAGATAATCGTTATGTACCTTCAGGTGTTAGAGTGTGAGCGTAATCAACACCTGGTCCAGACGTCATGGTGAGTTGACCTTCCTTGTTTTAAGGGCGCAGCAGGGCAGTGCAGGAGTGTGTTGGTGTGAGGCTCCCGGGCAGTGGGGAGTCGGTCCCATGACTGACTTGGTTGTGGGCTGGAGTTCTATAAGTATGTGAATCCCAGCCGCCGTCAGGCACTGCTGGAACGGTAAGGTGGCCTGCACCCTGCCCGATTCCTGACGAGCGCAGCCAGGGGACTTCCCACGGGGACCGCCTCGCACGGGGACTAGTGTCCCGTCTCCTGCGATGGCGTGGTAGCGAGCCTTGGAGGGCGGGATCCATGCTCTTCTGAGGTTCTGGAAACAGATGGTTTCCAGGGTGTGTGCTGGACCCGCTCTGGAGGGACAGTGTAGCTCTGGGCACCTTGTGACCATTTTCCAGGGAGCTAAGTCTGTAAGGGTCATGGTTTTGCTGCCTGAATTGTCTGGTGCTATGCCCTGTCTAGTAGAGAACCTATTTTGACTTTTCTTTTCTGTACTCTTTCAATCGAAGGGTAGCCTCTGAGGGTAAGTGACTAAGACTTCTCCTCTACTGTCCAAGCGCTTTGGTGCAGGGACAGCGGCCGTCCTCAGCCATCCCGCGCAGGCTCTCCACCGAAGGCTCTAGATGGTGGTATGCGCACGATAGTCTAGTGCTGGCGCACAGCTGCTGTGGTTCTCTGACGATTGTGCTTCTTGTTAATCCTGTCATGCTTTGGTAATTGTATCGATTAGAGTTGATAACTGTCTTGATTTGAATTTTGTCCCTTTAAAACTGCTGTACCGTGCAATAAAGATGCAGTACCTTATCCTTCCAACCAAATTCTCTCTTAGAGATCTTTAACAATTGGCTGATGGGGATTCAGATTTTAGTATGGGATTGTGGTATTTATTTTCATTAGTCTAAAAGTTGCTCTTTTCAGCAACTAAAAATTGACACATTATGGTAAAAGGTATGCATCTTTAAATTATTCATGGACACTCTTTAATATTGTAACTTAAGAGTATACCCATAAGGTTACATGTATGTTTTAAGGATTTAGTTTCTGAGCACTTAAAACGTAATGGATTAATATTTATCACCTTGAATATTGAAATTTCTTCATAGAAACAAAAGTACTGATGGTTTTGTGTATACTGTGTTGGGACTGTTTGTTTGCTATGTTTTGGGACAAGGCTTTGGTGCTGTCACTCAGACTGCTCCTGATGCCTGAGTAGCAAGAATGTACTTTGCCATGAGGAAATCGAGTATGTCTGTGCAGCACCTCGGCCAGGATCTGGGGCATAGCCATGATGGGTGGAGGTGGGGGGCCAGTCATGACTCTGGACCCCAAGGCGCTTCTCGCAGGGGACAGAGGAGCAATGACTGTAGGACCTGTCCAGTTGTTCTTGTGGAATTCAGCTTCTGTTTTTGTAATAGCAATTAAAATCAGTATGAGGTCTAAGTGTAAGGCTTAGAGAAATATATCTAAAGAAAAATGTTGAAAATGAGTCAGCTTTAAAACCGTTAAACTTCTAAAATACGAATGTTCTGTATTTTATCTTCTAAAGTATGATACGAGTCTTTTAAACTGTACTATTTGTGATAGAGCTTGTAGTGTTTTGTTGCTTCTGATTTTATGAATGTTCATTTTAAGACTCCTTGTTGCAATGGGACAGTTTGGAATGGCTCTTTGATAAGCCTGAGAAGAGGACTTCCCTTTGGGTATTGAGCCTTCCTCTGCGTGACATCCCCATGCACCCAAGGGCGTCTCTGTCCCCTTTTCCAAGTGTGGACTCCCTCGTGAAGAAGGGCCAGGCTGCTGGAACCGCCTCGAGAAGGAACGCCAGTGGACGCCGCGTCTCAGAGAAGCTCTCCCGGGCTCTTTGCTCAGCCGGCTCATTGAGTTTGCACGTTTCTCTGCACTGTGGAGCTTGAGCCTTTAGATTTCTCTGATCCGGTACCTTTTAACCACGGTAGACAGCATCTTTCTGAGGCATTGTGCTTTGCATGAGAGCAGGCCAAAAAGGAGAGGGAAAAGTAAAGTTAAAGTCGGTTCTCTTTCTTTCATAGCAACACATGTTTGACATTCAGCCAGCTTTTTAATTTTTTTTTTCAACAATTTCCCTATTTTTCTGCCCTGTATTCATAAAATGTACCCAGAAAGTTTCTCGATAACTCTAGAGATTTGCAGGCCTGGCTAGTCCTAGGCCCTGACAGTAGCCACTTAGAGGACTAGTGCCTGTGTAGGTGATACAGACAGGGCTCCTGGAGTGGTGGGCATTGCAAGTCTCCTGCCCTTGACTTTCAGGAATTACATGAATGACAGCCTTCGCACCGACGTCTTTGTGAGGTTCCAGCCTGAGAGCATTGCCTGTGCCTGCATCTACCTGGCGGCACGCACCCTGGAGGTGAGCTGCTTAGCCTTCCCACCCACCTGTGGCTCGGTGGGGCTTCTGCTGACCGATGTTTTTGTATTGACAGATCCCTTTGCCCAATCGTCCCCATTGGTTTCTTCTGTTTGGAGCAACTGAAGAAGAAATTCAGGAAATCTGCATAAAAATTCTGCAGCTTTATACTCGAAAAAAGGTTTGTGTGTGCTTTCACATAATGTGTGTCTGTGTTGGAGCTCAGCACCTGGCTGGCTGTGACGAATGGTTTGGGCTTCACAGGTTGATCTGGCGCTCCTGGAAGGTGAAGTTGAGAAGAGAAAGCATGCCATCGAGGAGGCCAAGGCTCAAGCTAAGGGCCTGCTGCCTGCTGGCACACAGCTTCCAGACCACACAGCGGGCTTCTCCCCTGCCCCCAAGCTGGGTGAGTGTCTGGGCGTGGGGGGGCATTGCTTCCTGGCACTGCTTCCCCCCACCCCTTTCCCACTGGGTTTCTCCAAGGGCTCCCCGGCCTGGCCCAAGGCTCCATGTTTGCAGAGCTCAGATTTGGGCCTTCACTTTTGCACACAGTCCCCTGAGCTGTGTTACTCACTTTGTGGTGTGGACAAGCGTTCTCAGGTGCTTTTGTCCACTGAGCACCCTGGTGAACCCTCCCATGGGGAGCAGTGGGTCTCACGGTTTGCACCTCAGTTAAGCAGAAAGTCTCTCCCTGGCCCAGAGGGGAAATGGGGAGACAGGCTTGTTGGCCCTGGTCCCACGCATAGGCAAGCAGGGTCAGCGTGGGACCTGTCTCAGCCGTTTCTGACCCGGTTATTTGGTTAGCGGAATCACCCAAAGAGGGCAAAGGGAGCAAAGCATCCCCGCTCTCGGCGAAGAGTACCAAGAGGAAAGCAGAGGGTGCCAAGAGAGCCAAGGGCGACAGCCCAGTGAATGGGTGAGTGTCCAGACAGGTGCAGGGTGGGGGCAGGGGTTGGCTGCCCTAGGCCTCTCTCACCGCACCCACCTCTGTCCTCAGCTTGCCCAAGGGCCGCGGGAGCCGGAGTCGCAGCCGGAGTCGCGAGCAGAGCTATTCCAGGTCCCCGTCGCGATCCGCTTCTCCAAAGAGGAGGTGGGTGCTGGCTGGTAGGGCTCCCCTTGCGGAGTTGGTGGGGGGGGCAGGGGATAGTTAGCGGCCAGTGGCATGAGTGGAGGTTCCCTCCCCACAGGAAAAGTGAGAGTGGCTCCACATCTGGCGGATCCAAGTCACAGAGCCGCTCACGGAGCCGCAGTGACTCCCCGCCAAGGCAGGCACACCGGGGTGCCCCCTACAAGGCCTCCAAAGTGCGGAGCTATCGCAAGGCCAAGGACTGCAAGTGCCCCCCACAGAAGCCCCCCACCTCTCGGAGCCGGAGCTCCTCACGCTCCAGAAGCCACTCCAGGGAACGGCCTGACCATCCGGGGAAGTACAAGAAGAAAAGTCATTACTACAGAGAGCAGCGGCGGGAACGTGAGCGCTCCCGCTCCTACGAGCGGACGGGCCATCGTTACGAGCGGGACCACCCTGGGCACAGCAGGCATCGGAGGTGAGGGCAGAGCGCAAGGGGAAGGCAGCCCTTGGTGCGCACTCCATCGGGACTGGCCTGCCCCCTCCACCCTTGGTGCACACTTCATCGGGACTGGCCTGGCTTGCGGCCTGCTATGACTCGTTCTGGCGATGGTGGCCGGCCCTGGATCTGACCTTGGGATGAATCCGGAAATGGAATTGAGAGGCTGGCCTGGGCCCAGGGCCTCCTCAGCTACAGCCCCACAGCGGACAGACCCATGGTCCTGGCGGGGGCCTTGGTGCTAGCAACAGGCTGTCTCTCTGCTCCTGAACCCACACTCAATTACGTTGAACCAAGAAAATGACTTACCTTTGCCTATATTAGGTTGTACTTATGTACATATTTTGCAGTGTTTCACATGAGAAAATGGCCTTAATAGCCCCTTATTCTCTATTCACGTTGTAAATAAACATGTGTTTAATACAAGTTAAAGCTATATATGAAAACTCAGAACTTGAATCTTGTCAGCTTAAAACTTGTGTAGAGAATTCTGATTTTTAAAATGTGAAGGTATTTAGATCTGTGTTGAAAGTCGTCTATTTTTATCTGTGCGACGCTGAGTGCAGGCCACCAGCTCCTAAATAGAGAAGTTTCCTATATATGCATTTTATGTGGTTAATAAACAATCCTCTCTGCTCAGGACATTTGGAACCTTGAAGAATCCTAGTTTGTCCTTTTGCTTGTTACCTTGTACAGCCTACAGTGCCCTAATGGGGCTGCTCCCCATGTAGGCATTGAGTTTTGTACTGGCTTGTGTCTGTCCAGTGTCCTGGCTTCGGGGCTCCGGTCTTTGTTTTTGTTCTGTTTTGTGTTGGAAACATACTCGGTGGTGCTGGTGGGTGCCATGCAAAAAGTGCCTTAAACACCTCCTTTCTCGTTCTGTCAAAGACTGCCCTGGCCCCCAGAACAAACATTCTGACAGCCCTCCTGAGTGGGCTGGGAAGATCGCGGCAGCTGCGCCTGGCCTTGCTGGCCGCAGCACTGGAGGATGGACTTAACATGCCTTCTAAGAGCCCAGGTTACAGTGGCTTGCCTTTAAACAACGGGGTGAGTTCCGAAGAAAAGGGTTCTTTCTTCAGAGCGAGCCCCCTACCGGGACGGACAGAACGCAGGGCATAGCCTGGCACTGAGGTCCCTCTTCAGTTTCAGGGCAGGGGGCCCCAGGGGTGGTGGAGTGTCCCTCCACTGCAGGGCAAGCCCAGGGCTAGGCTCAGTCGCTTATCCGCGCCACCAGGGCTGCAAAGGGCTGGCAGACCCCCCAGCACTCGAGGGCTGGACCGGGGTAGGGGGATGGAGGGCCCTGCGACAACCCGTGCCCTGCGACCCACGCGCAGTGGGTCCCCTCTGCGAGGCCCGCCCCTCTGCCAACTCCCCAGCGGTGAGGCCACACGCGGGGCAGGCCCCGCCTGGCTGCGCTTCCGGGGGTGGGGCCTAAGGGGCGGGGCCTTTGGCGGAAGCCGGCGCCTTCTCGGCCCGGCCGGAACCCGCGCGCGCGTAGCACGGGCCGTCTCCGGGGACGGACCGGACGTGCCGGATCGCGGCTGCGGAACGGTCAGGGGGTATCGCGCGTGGCGCGGGGCGGCTCAGGCAGGTACCGCTACCTCCGTGCACGGCCCCGCCACTCCGGCGGCCCGGAGGCCGCGCCGACCCATGTCTCTGCTGCTACGCCTGTCCTGCCGGCTGCTCAGGGCCGCCCCCCGGCTTGGCCCGCGGCTTCCGGCCCTGCCCCCGCCGGTCCAGCCGGGCCGCTCGCTGTGCGCGCTGCCCCACCGCGCGCCCCCGGCCGCGCCCCCCCGCCCCGGCCCTGCTGGGCCTGCTGGGCCGCCCGCTGTGCGCGCTGCCCCGCCGCGCGCCCCTGGCCCCGGCCTCGCTCCCCGCCCCACTGGACCTGCCGGGCCGCCCCGGGCCCCGCGACCCCCGCGCCCACCCCCCACCCCGCACCCCACCGCCCTCCCGCTGCTCTGCCGAAACGTGCTCAAGATCCGCCGGCGCAAGATGAACCACCACAAGTACCGCAAGCTGGTCAAGAGGACGCGCTTCCTGCGCCGCAAGGTCCGCGAGGGTCGCCTCAAGCGGAAGCAGGTGAGAGCCGGGGACTGGGGGCTGTGGGACGCCCCCCCCCCCTCGCGCCTTTCCCGCCCTCCCCCCGCCTGCGTCTCGCAGCGCTCCACCCCACCCGCGCCTCTCTCACGTCCCCCTCCTCGCCGGCATCTCGCAGCGCCCCCCCCCCCCCCCCCCCCCGCTCCGCAGGGACCCCCCTCCACGCTCGCGCTTCCCCTACCTCCGCAACGCCCCCCTTCTGCTCTTGCAGGCCAAGTTCGAGGGCGATCTGCGGCGCATCTGGCTCAGGGCGGGCCTCAAGGACGCTCCCGCCGGCTGGCAGACCCCCAGGATCTACTTAAAGGGGAAATGAGACCCACTTCCCCCTGGCCCCTTGGGTGGACCCCAGCCATAAACACAGCTGAAGCCGTTCTCAGTGCCTACCCGCCTCCTTGCACTGCCTTGGGATGGACACAGGAGTGGCCAGCCGGGTTGGGGATGAAGGTGCCCAGAGGCGGCAGCTGCACGTGGCCCTCTGATCCTGGTATGGCACTTCAGGCGATGAAGTAGGGGGGGTCTTTAGGTGCTGGAGAAGCCCCGAGATTGGAGATTTCCTGGGCAAAGGGGGTGGGAACCTGGAGTAACTGTCAGGTTCCTGGAGACAGCCTGGACTCATCGGCTCCCCATTGGGCCTTCCCAGCCCCCCCTGCTGCATACCCCATTTTTGCTATGACTCCTTCCTGAGTCCACCAGGCATGATGTGAGTGCAGAGCCAGGAGCACCACCAAATGTGTCCCCAATACAGCGCACACCCACCCCCCCCCGCAAAAAAAAAAAAGTATATGTACAAAATCTGAGCACAGCTGCAGGGACCCCAGCATTTAAATGGAAATGCTAGAGAGACAAAGAGTTAAGCATCTGCCTTGTTTCAGCATCCCGGTGCCCCATATGGCCTCTGGACCACAGCCCAGAAGGGCTCATGAGCACCCTAGAGGAGCCCCAGACCCCAAAGGTTTTAGTCAGGAGGAGGGGACCTTGATGAGGCCACGCCCAGTGGCTCCAGGGATTACTCCTGGCAGGAATCAAATCATCCTTGTCCTGAGGGCTTCTCTACAAGGACTCAATCCCACTGCTACCTCTACAATGTAGACTATCATCTTGATCCTGAGCCTAGAACCCTGCCCCTACCAGCACAGAGTCTGCAGCACTGCCAGGTGTGTCCACACTCAAGTTCGACCAAGAAAATTCAGGCAGAGAATGACCCCAGGTCCCAGCAGAGAGCTGGGAAAGACCTGGGTCCTGCTCCTGGGCAGCAGGAAGGTCTGGGGCTCTGCCCTCCCACTGCGGCTGCACGTGCAAAGGTCCTGAGGGAAAGTTGTGGCATTCCTGTCTGTACCAACCTGTCAGGTGGCAGCAGTGCTGGGCAGTGTCGACTTAACACACACACACACACACCTCATTCTGTTCTGCAGCAGAGGCAGCGAGGTTTATAAGGTATGCCTTAGGGACAAGAGTCCTGCCTGCTCCCTGGGTAAAGACTAGTACACTAGCCATTTCCTGTGACATAGATGCTCAAGGGGTTTAGTGCCCCTGTGCACACGGCCACAGAAAGGCAGTGAAAGACAGCTGCCATCTGCGTACATGGCACATGCTGGCCACAGGCAGCTCCGCCCTGCCTGGTGACCTGGCTTCTGAGCGGGCCACTGTGTCAGCAGCCTGCCACAGCAGCCGGTGAGGGCAGCCATGGAGATGCCTGTCCTTTATCCTATGGCCTTTCTGGAATGCAGCCCCGGGGCGTGGGCACGGCTCCTGTGGGTAAGCACAGACCCAGAAGGGGCTGGATCCCAAAATACCAGCCTCACACTCATACCTGTGTCCCCCAGCAGCTATGGTGGCCCTCTGATGTGGCAGTCCAGTAACCACACTTAAGCTTCTCAGATGCCCACTAGGAAGAATTGTCAACACAGGATCTGTCCAAAATACCCGCTGCAAGAGTAGGTTGTGGCAAAAAAAAAGGGAGGGGGGGCGTGGAGTGATAGCACAGTGGGTAGGCACTTGCCTAGCATGTGGCAGACCCATGCTTGATCCCTGTTATCCCGTTTGGTGTCCTGAACCTTTCCAGGGATGATCTAAGTGCAGAACCAGGAGGAAGCCCTGAACACGGGTGAATGTGGCCCCCAAAAAAGATGTATGGACGCTCAGGTCCATGCTGTTCCACATGTATGGAGCACAGCCCTGATGCTCAGCTCTCCCCCGACACCCCACCATCGGCTGGCCATTCCTAGCCACGAAACAGGGTCTGCCACAGCTTAGATCCCCAGCACCACAAGTGCAGAAACTAACATGCAGAGACATGCAAGTGCCACAGCTGGAGTGCAGCTCCTTGAGACGCACCATCAGCACAAGCGTGCAGCCCTTCTAGTCCTGCCAGTGGCAGCAGAAGTGAGCTGGCTGCAAGGCTGATGATCCCAAGGTGATCCCAGTCTGTTTCTTTTTCTTTTGGGGGTCAAATCTGGAGGCGTTCAGGGCTTACTCCTTGCCCTGTGCTCCGGGATCACTCCTGGCAGGGCTCAGGGGACAATATGGGGTGGTGGGAATCAAACCGAGGTCGGACGTGTGCAAGGCAGCTGCTGCCCCGCTGCACTTGGTCTGGTCTCACGGCCTGTTTCCTGACTTCAGGCTCTCGTAGTCAGACCATCAGGACCTCGTGTGGCCTCCCCCCTGGGTCTGGCTGCTGCCAAGTGCACTCCTGCAACGTGCCACTTTCCAAAAAAGGGTCAGAGGGCCCCTTAGCAGGCGGCTGGAAGCAGTGTGCAGCACTGGCAGCTTTGCCTGGCCTGGGATTGGGGCAGCACTCACTCTTAGGGCGAGTTAGGGATGGGGCTGTTGGCTGTGTCGTGGGCACCCTGGGAAGACTCACACTTGGGAAAGGAAACCCTGTGTGGGAGCACCTTAAAGTCTTTGTTTCTGGACCACACCCAGTGGTGCTCAGGGCTGACTCCTGGCTCTGCACTCAGGAGTCATTCCTGGTAGGGCTCAGGGATCACATGGGGAGGTGAGGACTGAATTCATATCGGCCATGTACTATGCAGAAGCCCTCCTTGTACTCTTGCTCCTGTCCCTTAAGGTCTTCAGGGCTCTTAGGGTGCTGTGCGCTGTGGTGGGAGTTGGCTGTTGGTCATAGGACCAAAGCTGAAGACTTGAACCTGTGCTGTGGGGAAGGGCCAGTTGAGGCAACTGCTCTTGCTGACTGTGGATGCAGAGGCCCTGGCAGGGGCCACTGTAGGAAAACCCCTCCTCCAATCAGGCTCCTCGCACCACTGGAGGGGGTGCAAAGGGCCTTAGTGTGGTGCCAAGGTCTGGGTAAGAAGCACTGCCTGTGTCCGACAGTCTGACCATACAAAGCAAATCTGCACCCACTGTTGAGCTGCAGTTGCCCATTTGGGGTACTGGCAGCTGTATGGGGAACGGTGCCTGGCACCCAGAAGCTGGTCTCAGCTGTGTGCACAACCTGGGGTGGCGAGGCTGCTCCCCAACAAGCCAGGGACAAGCCCAGTGCCGTGGAGAAGCAGGAAGTACAAGGTTTCCAGGTCCAGGCCCCTGTGTGTGAGGACCCGAGGGAAGGGCTGGCGCAGGAGGGCTTGGGCCCAGAGTCTTGGCTTCTCAGCCAGTGAGCCATGCACCAGGCCGGTCTGGATGCCCAGCACGCAGTTGAGTGCCCCTCTATGAGGAAGCCATGCCAAGGGCTCACCCAATGGTCCTTGCTTTCTCTAGGGAGGCTGGCCGTGGTCACCCTGATACTGCTGCCTGCATGGATGACCCCACTAGGACTCCAGGGGCCTCTGTGTCCTGATGCGTGGCCTGCAGGGTCCAGCCCTGGCTCTGTGGAAGATCAGGGTAGAAGCAGATTGATGAGAAGTCCCAGCCTTGTATCTCCCTTTGGGGATGTTGGACAAAGGTGGACTCAGACCCCAGCACTGGGGTGGATGCTGAGTGTGGGATGCAATTGCGCTGTTTTCTGTCTGCCTGGCTCCACCCGCCCCAGCTCAGCCTGTCCTGCCTCTATGCAGCATGTCCACTCTGGAGCTGGACTGCAATCCTTGCAGACTGTGTGATGCCCTGCTGGTCAGGCTAATCCTGGCTACTCTGTTCCTCCGTGTGCCCCTCATAGACCATCCTGAGAGTGGGTAGCAGCTTCCGTATCTGCTGAGAGCCTGTGAGCCCAAAGTTTGGCATTGGTGAGGCGCTGAGTCACACACTGAAAACTCTCCTGGGGTCACACACACATGCTCAGCGGTTCCTCCTGGCTGTGCACTCAGATCACTCCTGGGGGGGCTCGGGGATCATACAGGATACTGGAGATAGAACCCAAGTTGGCCATATGCAAGGCAAGCACCTTGCCCGCTGTGCTGTTGCCCTGACCCTTACACTGAATCTTTTGCCAGCAATGACCTGGCTGACTGGGGGGTGCAGATCCCAAGGGACACCTTCACACCTGACTGGGGGTGAGACAGTTGAGAGTGGGGTGCTCCGGTGGTCCGTGTCTGAGTGGGGGCCGCGTGTATCCTTGTGCCGGGCGTGGGCGTGCCCGTCTGAGCCCCTGCTTACTTCAGCACTGTGGTTTCCTCCAGTGAGCCAGGCGGCCTGGAATGTCCGCACCCCAGGAACCAGAGCCCAGGGGGGCTGGCTGGCTGCCTGCAGCTCAGCCACGCCTCTGAGAGAGAGGAAGTGGGTCCAGGGCTCAGGCCTGGTGGGGGGCAAGGCAGAACTCAGGGTGGGATGCGGTGAGGTCAGTGGCTTGACTTTTGTCCCTCCGGGAACGACTGGAGAGGGTGAAGGAGCCAGGTTGGCAGCCCAGATGCCCACTGGCCGTTGGCTCTCATCTGGGGCACTTCCAGCCGGGATTTGGGCCGAGACTGCAAGCTTTCGATGGCTCTGCTGGCCTCAGAGAAGGCAAACGAGACGGCAGTGCCTGTGAGCCTGTGTCCATGTTTGGCAGGCCACAGGTTGGCTTTGGGGCCCTGCAGCCCTTCACTCTGGCTGAGTCCCGAGTCCTCCCCAGGGCTAGCTGACCCCAGCCTCGGTCAGCAGAGGGCCTTCCCGGAATCTCTGCTGTCTTGGGGGAAGGCAGGGCGGGAGAGCAGGGAGCCAGAAGGCGGCAGGGGCGGGGAGGCCAGGGCTAACACAAACCAGTTAGCAAAACAAGGGGGGCCGAGGGCGGGGCTGTTTTCCCAGGCCAGACCCTGACTCCAGTCTGAAAGGGGCCGCCCTAGGGCTGAGGACTGTGGGTGGGTCGCAGGGCTCACAGGGACACAGGTCACAGCACCCAGCCCTCATTCGTCCCACTCTCCGAACCCTGGAGCCTGAATCCAGAGTTTGTCTCAGGAAGGATAGATAGTCTGGTGAGACCCAGCCTGCAAGGGACTGGGCCCTGTGGCCCATGGCCGTAATTCAACCCAAATGCCTGTGGGTTTGCTGTTTGGACTTTCTCTGAGGTCTGCCTGAATAGCTGGAACAGCTCAGCACGCAGGCTGTACTCTGTCATTTTCAATTTGTTTATGCGACTCGGTGCCTTCTGTGGTGGCTGAACCCTTGTCCGTACTCGGGTGGGCACGTTGGAAGGCCAGGCTCTGGTGGGCACACAGGGAAGGGGACTCATGCCACCACAGGGCTCAGGCCACCGGTGGGCACTGGCTGACAGGTCTGAGCACACAGCCTGGCTCCTTGGGGTGCCACTGGCGGGGGGGTGGTGGTGCTCCCCAGAACCACAGATCTGGGGCAGTCGCAGACATGCCTTGTCCCTCCTGCCAGTCCTGGTGAGGCCACTGTCCCCGTCCAGGGCCCACAACAGAGAGGGGCTGGGGCCAGGCCCTCCCCTCCCTGCAGGCCCGCCAAGGATGGGGGAGGCCAAGGGGCCTGGCAGGAGCTGAGGGGCGGGCAGTCTAGGTCTGACCCAGCCCAGGGCTCCGTGATGTCACGCGGGTGCTGAGGAGGGGGAGGGCCAGCTGTTTTTCTGGAGAGTTGGAGCAGACAAAGCCGGCTGGCCGGGCCAGTGGGCGCCATGGAGCTCCGTCCAGGGCTGCTCGTCTGGGTGCTGCTGCTCCTGCAGGGTGAGTGATGAGGCGGCTGGGAGAAGGGACAGGCCTGGGGGCCACGATCAGGGGCCCCCAGAGCAGGGTGGGTGTCGGCCCTTCAGGGGCAGTTGAAACCCCTCAAGCCGCACCTGGCGTGTGTCAGGAAGCAGGGGCTCAGAGCCGCAGGGCCTCTCTGGCCCAAGCCCGCCCCTGGGGCCGGCTGGGAATTTCCCGCTGGGCCCCGCAGCAGTGCAGGCGCACAAACGGGCCGGCAGTGGCAGCGGGCCGGTCCTCAGAGTCCTGGCTCCGGGCCCCTGATAGCCAGGGGGCTTGGGCGACCCGGCGTGTGGGCGTGGCCGTTTGTGGGGTCCGTGGGGTCCGCCTGGCCCGGGCGGGCATGCAGGTCCAGCGAGGGCCTGGCTTCAGCGCCCAGAGCAGGGGTGCTTGGGGCTCCCCACAGTGACTCTCCTCCTTCCAGGGTCCGCGGTCCTGCCGTCAGGTGAGTGCCCAGCCCCGCCGCCCCGCCCCGCCCCTCGCCCAGGGGCCCCTCCCCGAGCACCTGCCCCTTCCCGCAGGGCCGCCCGGGGGCAGCTCCGTGGTGTCCGAGTCAGCCGTGAGCTGGGCCGCGGGCGCCCGGGCGGTGCTGATGTGCCAGAGCCCGCGCATGGTGTGGACCCAGGACCGGCTGCACGATCGCCAGCGCGTGGTGCACTGGGATGTGGCCGGCGGCCCTGAGCGCCCGGCGCGCCGCCTCGTGGACATGTACTCGGCGGGCGAGCAGCGCGTGTACGAGCCCCGCGACCGCGGCCGCCTCCAGCTGGCGCCGTCCGCCTTCCTCGACGGCAACTTCTCGCTGCTCATCCGCGGTAGGCACAGGGCAAAGGGGCGGGGCGGGGCGCGGGGCCCACCCGCACCGCGTGGCCTCACGCTGCTTCTCGCGGGGCAGCGGTGGAGGAGTCGGACGCGGGGCTGTACAGCTGCAACTTGCACCACCACTACTGCCACCTGTATGAGAGCCGGGCCTTGCTGCTCAACGTCACTGAAGACCGTGAGTGACTCGGCCCGCGCGTCCCGCGGTCGCAGACTCCCGCGCGTCCCCCCGCGGTCCTGCCCCCCGCGCGCCCCCCCGCGGTCGCTGACCTCCGCGCTCACCGCACCCCCCTGCCCCTCCCCCGTCGTGACCCCCGCGCCCCCTCCACCCCCCTCACCCCCCCCCCCCCGTCGCTGACCCCCGCGGTCGCTGCGCCCTACGCTCACCGCGCCCCGCGCCCCGCAGCCCGGGCCGCCCGCGCCTTCTGGGACGGCGAAAAGGAGGTGCTGGTGGTGGCTCGCGGGACGCCCGCGCTATTGAGCTGCGTGAACCGCGCGCACGTGTGGACCGACCGGCACCTGGAGGAGGCGCAGCAGGTGGCACACTGGGACCGGCAGCCTCCGGGGGTGTCGCACGACCGCGCTGACCGCCTGCTCGACCTGTACGCGTCGGGCGAGCGCCGCGCCTACGGGCCGCGCTTCCTGCACGACCGCGTGGCCGTGGCGGCCGACGCGTTCGCGCGCGGCGACTTCTCGCTCAGCATCGACCCGCTGCAGCCGGCCGACGAGGGCACCTACTCCTGCCACCTGCACCACCACTACTGCGGCCTGCACGAGCGCCGCGTGTTCCGCCTGAGCGTCACAGCGCCCGTCTCGCTGCCCCCGCGGGGCTCCCCGGGCAATGGCTCTGGCTCCGGCGGCGCCACCCCTCGCCCAGGTGCGGCCGCCTCCCCTCCCGCGCGTGGCCCGTGGTGGCCTGTGCCCCACTGACCACCGGCCCCTACTGCAGACCCCACGCTGGCACGCGGCCGCAGCGTCATCAATGTCATCGTGCCCGAGGGCCACGCGCACTTCTTCCAGCAGCTGGGCTACGTGCTGGCCACGCTCTTGCTCTTCATCCTGCTGCTCATCACCGTCATCCTGGTCACCCGCCAGCGCCTCCGCGCAGACGCCAGCCCCGGGGAGCGCAAGCGGCCCCAGAATGAATCTCCCCTGCCAGGCTATGAAGGCGTGGAGAAGTTGAGGACGCTGAAGGGGTGAGTTTCGTCCTGCTTGTTCCCTCAGGGGACCCCCACCCCATCAGCTGCTCTGACCTGGGCTGCTCTGACCTTCAGGAAGGACGTGAGCGTGGCCCAGTGGACGGGGAGCTCCCAGGAGCAGGCGCCGTGCAGGAGTGAGCACATCCCACTAGGTGAGCCCAGCACCTGCCCCACTCACCCGGTCACGTGGGGGGCACCCCGGCAGGGCCCTCAGCACGCTCTTCCCATCCCAGACTACAAGAACAACATCCTGAAGGAGAAGGCTGGGTTGGCCCACAGCCCCCTGCCCACCAAGACCCTGGACCTGGATAAAGGTCAGTGGCTGGGAGGGTGATGCCCTCCCACCTCCCAGCCAGCTCAGACTTGGGGGTTTGCGGGGACAAGTGGCGAGCCCAGGGCGGAGAGCTGACCACTTGCCCACATTGGCAGAGCTCAGAAAGGAGTACTGCAAATGAGCCGCCCGCCCGCTGCCCTCCCTGTCGTGGACCTTCTCTGCCCCTTCAGCGGCTGGTCCGCTGCCCTCAATCTGCCCTGGTTTGGCTGCCTGCAGAGCCCTCCGGGAAGCCGCCCTCCCTGCCCAGTGAACAGAGGTGCCCACCAGCCTGGGACAGGATGCAGTCCCTGCCTGCCCTTCCCTGCCCCTGTCCAGCCCCCATTCCACAATCTGCTGTGTCTCTCATTGCGTGTCCTCATGTGACTTCTGACCCTGTTCCCCGCCCACTGGCTGGAGTCCAGGGTTGGGCCCCTGGTGGCTTCCGTCAGTCTGAGGACAGGGTGAGGAAGGTTCTGGGCAGCCTGTGGTGGCTCCTGTCCCTGCACCAGCTCCTCCCTGGGCCACTGGGGCCTCCCCTTCCTAATAAAAGCTGGCTGATTTCCCCTGTATCCTGGTTTTCCTAACTGCTTTTGTTGTTGTTATTGTTTTGGTTTGGGCCACACCCAGTGGTGCTCAGGCGGCTTACTCCTGGCCAGGCTCTCTTGGACCCTATGCAATGTGGATGACAGAACCCAGGTCAGCTGTGTGGAAAGTGCCTCCGACCCCACTTGCACCCTCTCACCATCTCTCTGGCCCCTTTTCCTCACCTTGGTCAGAAGTTCAAGATCACAGATCATTTCTCAGAGTGGGCGGGACTTCCTGGACAAGAGGGTGGGGGATGTGGTGGGTAGCAGACAGTGGCAAGAAGAGTCTCACCCTGGTTTCTGAAGTGCTCCCAGTGAGCCGAGTGCTCCCACACCTACCCACGGCAGGTGTGCATGTCGCCCCACCCCCCCCCCACCAATCCCCTGCTCTTGTCCTGTGACCTCTGCTGGACTTCATCTGGAGAAGGGAGCCACTACCAGCAGGGTCCAGGTGCTGGCCACCCCACAGGACCAGCTTATTCTCAGCTGCACCAGCAACTTGGGAGAGATTGGCTTGGGCTCACCAGCAGCTGCATCTGTGACCCGCACCCTGTGGTCTGTCTCCTGGTGTTAGCCTGCACCTCTGGAGCAAGCATGCACCCACCAGTCACAGTGGGCTCACTCATCACTCTGGGGAAACTGAGGCTGTAGGGTGTAACGTCAACAGAAAGTTTCCAGGGCCTCAGCCTGGGTCATGACTTACCCAGTAGGTTCTGGAGGTCAGTGCTGGACCACTGGGGTGGGGGGGATGGGGATGTGGGAGTGCTGGGGGCATGTGGTCAGGAACTGGGGGACTGAGCACCGTAGCCCCTCACCTGCAGGTCTTCTCTGGCAGCCTCACCCCCTCTCACTGTCCCCTGGTAGGAGCCGACCCCAGTGGTGTTCTCCATATGGGTGCGGGATGTAGCTGAACCCTTCCCAGCTCCAGAAAACAACTCTGGGGCCTCACACTCTGCCCCCTGCTGCTGGGGTCTCTGCGCCCGCGAGCCGGACGGGACGGGCGCAGAGCTGGACTGTCCGGCGACACCCCCATCCCCGGCCCACAGACCGAAAACCCAGGCGCGGCGACACTTAAGGCCAGAGCCGATCCCCGCGACCGCCTGGCGCGAGACGAAGCGTTGTGAGGGCCGCAGCCTCCGACAGCTGGGGACGCGGGAGCAGGGTCGCTCGACCTCCCCACGTGGGCGCGTCCCTGCCCGCTCACGGGAGAGCCCCGCGGCCCCCGGGACCCGCCCCTCACGCCCCGGGCCCCCGCGTGTCCCCCAGTCTCCCTGCGCCCAGGTTCCCGTGCGCTCCCCGGTCTCCTCCGGTCACCCCCGGCGCCACGGCCCCTTCGTCCCTCCACGGTCCGGCCCCTGGGGTCCCCCCGCCGCCGCCCCGCGGCCCCGCGGCCCGGTTCCCCACGCGCCCGCGCGCTCCGGCCCCGCCTCCGGCCCCGCCCCTCCGCGCGCGTGCGCAGCACGGCCCCGCCCCGTGACGTCACCGCCCGGCTCGCGGGCGCCCCCCGGCGGGCGGCGCTCTCAGAAGGGCCCGCGGTCCCTTTAACTGCGCGGCCCGAGGGGGCGGCGGCGGGCGGACGCGGCGGGGCCGGGGCGGATGGGCGGCCGCGGGCCGCGGGGCGGCGGCGGGCGCGGCGGCGCGGGGCGGCGGGCGCGCGCGCGTGGCCTGGCGGCGGCGGGCGGCCCTGACGCCGCGCGGGCCCCGCGCCATGGCGGAGACCAAGATCATCTACCACATGGACGAGGAGGAGACGCCGTACCTGGTCAAGCTGCCCGTGGCGCCCGAGCGCGTCACGCTGGCCGACTTCAAGAGCGTGCTGGGCAACCGGCCCGTGCACGCCTACAAATTCTTCTTCAAGTCCATGGACCAGGACTTCGGGTCAGTGCGCCCTGGGCCGCGGGCTGCGCCTCCCGCCGGGCCGGGCCCCCCTGGCCGCGCGCGGGGCGCGGGACGGGCGCCGCCGCACCTGTCGGAGGGCGCGGGCAGGCGTCGGGGCGGCCGGCGGGGCCGGGGGCGCCCGACACTGTCCGGGGCTGCGGACCGCAGTCCGGGCCGTCCGCGGGCCGGTGGGCACGGGCCGTGGTCCGCCCGCCCGCGCGCCCCGAGGCCGCAGACGGAGGTCAGACCCTGCCCTCCGGCCGCCCTGCCGCTGGGCCTCCGAGGAGGCCGGCCTGGGGGGTGGCCGTCCTGGCTGGGCACCACCCGGGGTAACCTGAGCCCCCACGGCGGCGCCGGGGCCTGTGTGCCAGCCCCGTCCTTGCACTGACGGCCTCTCCCTGTGACATTGAGGCTGTTTCCTGCTGCCGTGGCCACGGGGCCACCGTGAATCCGGGACTGAAGGACGTTTGGCAATTGCACCAGGGATCCTGGGCACCCTGAAGGTTTCCTGCACACCCACGCGGTGACCCCTGAACCCTCCTCTGGCGCACACCGTCATCCCCAGCCCCTCCTCCAGCTGGCAGGAGCGCCGGCCTTGTGCGTTCTCCCTTGTTACCCGCTTCGTCCTCAGAGCCCACAGCCAGTGGGCACGGGCACTGTCTGGTCCAGCCGCTGCTCACAGGGAGTGCAGGCCATCTCTCTCGGGCGCTGTCCTGACCCTGCGAGGCTCTGCTGGCCTCTGGGTCTGCGGCGGGGCTTGTGGGCCGCCAGGGTGGCCTCTTCCCAGGCTTGGCACCCCCATTTCTTTCTCTTTATTTGTTTATTTTTCATTGGATCACCGTGAGATACACAGTTTCAAGGAAGGCACCTCCCCTTCTAAGCTGGGCCCTGGAGGTGCTGCCGAGGGCGTCCAGCTGGAGGGTGGGGCCTAGCTCAAGAGGGGCAATAGAGCCAGAGGTGTGGGGACTCGGAGCCCCCTAACAGGAGCCTGGGCCTTTTACCACTGATGGCTGGGCTGGGCGCGGGGTGCCCCATGCCGAACTGGCCAGCTCTGTGCATAGGACGGGTTAGGGAGAGGCCAAGCTTCCGTGGTCCCTGACTTGGGGTGTGTGGCCGCCCCCCGGGTCTGCTGGCCTGGGAACCTCCTGGGCTGTTGTGAGTAGATTCCTCTCCGGGGCGGGGCTGCGGGGGCGGGGGCGCGCCGGCCAGCCACAAGTTCAGGGTTAACCAGGATCTTGCCGGGAATTCTGAGGTGGGGCATGGTGCCAGCAGGGGTGCGCAGGGCGGAGGCACTTCCTCTGCGTGGCACGGGGTCCCTCCCTCCCTGTGGAGCTCAGGAGTGCCCTTTGGCCTGTCTGCCCCATGCTGCCTCTCCGGGGTGGAAGGCGGGAGGTGTTTCTGGCTGGGGAATTAGCCTGCAGAGGGCTTGTCGCCACTGCTGGGACATTGGAACCTGGCATCGGACCCTCCCCATCCCCACCTGGTGTGGCTGACTCAGAAGGGCTGGGCTGGGGTGTGGCGGAGGACGCCAGGCACCTGGGCTTGCAAAGGGCTCAGCAGTGGGGCACTCGCCTGGTGTCTGAGGCCCAGAGCTCCATTTCCGGCACCAGGAAAAGAAATAGCCAAGAGAGCCAGGCCCCCACCCCCGTCTCCGCTGCCGCTGTCCCTTGAGTTCCCCCTCTTCCTGGGTAGTCACACCCTTCCCTGGGAAGTCAGCTGAGAGCAGAGAGGGGGTCCTGAGAAGTGGCTCACCTTCTGGCCATGTGTGATCGGCCCAGGGCCCCAAGCTGTCTGCTCTGTCCACAGTGCCCAGTGGAGTGGACAGGTCCCTGCTCCCTGTCAGAGAGCCTGGGGCCAGTTATGCAGGGCCTCCTGCCACCTGCTGCTGCCACGACTGGCCAAGATGAGGCGGCCGCTCAGCCGACCTAGAGGCTGCTTCCTGTCTGGCCAGCAGGCGGCCGCTGATGCCCAGGCAGGGGAAGCATCTGGGCTGGGTGGGGGCGGGGGGGGGGGGCGCTCCCGGCCCTGGGGGTGGAGCTGAAGGCTCTGGGCGGGGCTCCCGTTCTGGGGGCGGGGCTTGATCCCAATGCTGGGGCACTTTCAGGGCCATCCTGCCCTGGTGTGTGGGTCACCAGAGGGCACATGGGATCTTGCTGGTCCCGAAAGTTTGCCGGCTGTTCACTCCTCAGTCCTTTGGATCTTGACACCTGCTTCCAGCCCCAGGTCATCTTCTACCGGTCAGCATTGCCTTGGCTGGTCCTGTCTGTGCACCTTTCTCAGCCCAGCCATGTGACCTGGCAGTATGAGGCAGGCGAGGGGCTGGCCACCGGGCTGTGGGTGTTGCTGGAGGGCTGGCCCTAGCTGGTCTCAAGCTGGGCAGCCTCAGTGAGCAAGACTGCCGGGGGTTGGGGGTGGGATGTGGTCTGCCCCTGGGGTCTGGGGAAGTCCCCTTTAACCAGGTCCCGCTCTGCCACAGGGTGGTGAAGGAGGAGATCTCTGATGACAATGCCCGGCTGCCCTGTTTCAATGGCCGCGTGGTGTCCTGGGTGAGCCCTGGTGGGCGGGAGGCTGGGCTGGGGGAGGCTGGTGTCCACATCAGCCATGCCCTGAGTACCCCCTCTCCTCTGCAGCTGGTCCTGGCTGAGGGCTCCCACTCGGACACAGGGTCTCAGGGCACAGATGGCCACACAGACCTTCCCACCCCCTTGGAGCGGATGGCTGGCATTGGGGACTCTCGGCCCCCTTCTTTCCAGTAAGAACCCAGGCAGCGGTAGCATGTGGGGAGGGAGGGCAGCAAGCAGACCCATCAGTGAGGAGCTCATCCACAGGAGGTGGGCAGTTGGGTGGGCAGGTGCCTCTGCTGGAGCCAGAGGAAATGAACTCGGACTGTCCGGGCCTTGCTGGCCCAACCTGACCCGTCCCCCACTGCACAGCCCAAATGTGGCCAGCAGTCGCGATGGCATGGACAATGAGACTGGTACCGAGTCTCTGGTTGGTCACCGGCGGGAGCGACCTCGGCGTCGGAACCGTGAGGAAGGTAAGACGCCTACCCAGGTCTGAGATGCAGCAGCCCCTGCTGACTCTGGCCCCTGGTGTCACCCAGATCACTGGTTACTCCCAGAAGTCAGCTCCCTTCCTGACTGTCCCCACAGCCACCAGGACCAATGGGCACCCACGGGGGGACCGGCGGCGGGATGTGGGGCTGCCCGCGGACAGCGCTTCCACTGTGCTGAGCAGCGAGCTGGAGTCCAGCAGCTTCATTGACTCGGACGAGGACGACAACACCAGCCGGTGAGCGAGTTGGGCCATAAGGTGTGGCACAGGTGTGCACATGTGTGGGGCCAGGGGGCATGGCACAGGTGTGTGTGCACAGGTGTGTGCTAGGGTGAAGGTGCCTGATAACCTCTGGAGCGTGTCTTGGCGTGTGTGTGTGTGTGTGTACATGTGTCATGCGGGAGGTGGTGTGTGTGGACAGGTGTATGCATGGCCGCATCCATGCCCTTGTCCCCGTCTCCTCCAGGAGGTGCTTGGTGGGTGTGCCCCTAGCCCGTGGCCTCACTCTCCCCTGCCGGGGGGGGGGGGGGGAGCGGGCTGTGTCCAGGGCCTGAGCCTGCACACTCACCCCCAGGCTGAGCAGCTCCACAGCACACAGCACATCCTCCCGGCTCATCCGGAAGCACAAGCGCCGGCGGCGGAAGCAGCGCCTGCGGCAGGCCGACCGGGTAGGTGGTGGCAGGCGGGCAGGGCACGCTGCCTTGCAGCCGCACAGCCACAGCCCTGACCCCGTCCCCGCAGGCGTCCTCCTTCAGCAGCATCACCGACTCCACCATGTCCCTGAACATTGTCACCGTCACTCTCAACATGGGTGAGGCCTGTGGCCCGTGGTGGACGGGTAGGTGGGCGGGTGGGCAGGTGGGCAGCGCTGCTCACCCTTTGCCCCCACAGAGCGGCACCATTTCCTGGGCATCAGCATCGTGGGCCAGAGCAATGACCGCGGGGACGGCGGCATCTACATCGGCTCCATCATGAAGGGCGGGGCAGTGGCCGCCGATGGCCGCATCGAGCCTGGGGACATGCTGCTGCAGGTGTGCTGGGGGCCCGTGGCGGGAGGGCGGGACCCTCCCCACCCACCTCCACTGAGCCCTGCCCCCCTTCCAGGTGAACGACGTCAACTTCGAGAACATGAGCAATGATGACGCTGTGCGGGTGCTGCGGGAGATGGTGTCCCAGACTGGGTGCGGTGGGCGCGGGGGCACGGGGGCGGGAGGGCTGCTGCAGTCTCTAGGGGGTGACCCGCACTTCCCGACCCCTGCAGGCCCATCAGTCTCACGGTGGCCAAGTGCTGGGACCCCACACCGCGGAGCTACTTCACGATCCCGAGGGGTGAGTGACCCCATGGGGTCAGGGGCAGGGACCCCTGGACTCGACCTGAGCTCTGATTTTTCTCCTGTGTGTCTGTTCCTCTGCCCCCCCCACGGCATCTGCCCAGCTGACCCCGTCCGGCCCATCGACCCCGCGGCCTGGCTGTCACACACAGCAGTGCTGAGTGGAGCCTTGCCACGCTACGGTACGAGCCCGTGCTCCAGCGCTGTCACCCGCACCAGCTCCTCCTCACTAACCAGCTCTGTGCCTGGCGCCCCACGTAAGTGGCAGCTCCCAAGAGCAGGGCCGGGGGCCACGCCAGGGCCATCCCAGCCCCCGTGCTCCGCTGCCACCTGCTCGGCTCTGGCCGGGCGCGTTGTGGACATGCTTCCTGCTGCTAACACCACTAACACGCGCCAGCAGAGGACTCCTGGGGGTCTGCGGAGTGGGGTGGCTCCCCCCGATCTGGGCCCCAGGCCTTGGGGCATCTCCTCCGGGGGAGGCCCAGGCCCAGCCCCCACCTCCACGGCGCCTGCCTCTGCTGCAGGGTCAGGGTCTGGTCCCTTGGCCACCCGGGGCTGCGGTGGGCGCACCCCCACCCGCCCTGAGAGATGTGCCTTGTAGAGCTGGAGGATGCGCCGCTGACCGTGAAGAGTGACATGAGCGCTGTGGTGCGGGTCATGCAGCTGCCAGACTCAGGCCTGGAGATCCGCGACCGCATGTGGCTCAAGATCACCATCGCCAACGCCGTGATCGGTGAGCAGCTCCGGGAGGGCGGCCAGAGTGCCCTGCAGGGTGGCCCGCGGCTGTGGGCCGGCTGACCCCGCTGCCCGCAGGCGCTGACGTGGTGGACTGGCTCTACTCGCACGTGGAGGGCTTCAAGGAGCGGCGGGAGGCGCGCAAGTACGCCAGCAGCATGCTGCGGCGCGGCTTCCTGCGGCACACTGTCAACAAGATCACTTTCTCTGAGCAGTGCTACTACGTGTTTGGGGGCCTGTGCAGCAGTGAGTGGGAGCCGGAGGTGGGCAGGGCCACCCCACCCCCCGCCTGCTGGCCAGCCCTCACGCCCTCCTCTCCCTGCAGACCTGGCCGCCCTGAACCTCAACAGCGGCTCCAGTGGGGCCTCTGATCAGGACCCTGTGGCCCCGCTGCCCCACCCCAGTGCCCCTTGGCCCCTGGGTCAGAGCTACCCCTACCAGTACCCGGGCCCCCCGCCCTGCTTCCCGCCCGCCTACCAGGACCCTGGCTTCAGCTACGGCAGTGGCAGCGCTGGGAGTCAGCAGAGCGAAGGTGCGTGCCCAGACAAGCCTCCCTGTCCAGTCTCTGCCTGGGCCCCCTCCTGCCCTGTGCTCTGCCCTGCTGGGGGAGGGGTCTGGGGCATGGCCGGAGACTTGCAGTTGGGGGTCTACAGGAGCGACAGACTCAGAGGAGATACCCCGTGTGCATGAGCCTCCAGGGAGCTGGTGCTGGGCCCCTGGCAGACCTCGAGCCCCCTGGGCAGGCTGGGCAGGCATCCGAGCGGGCTGCCCTCCGGGTGGGCTTGCAGAACAGGGCCTTGCAGTGGCCGGAGCCCCAGGCTGCGGGGAGGGGCGGCGGGAGGGGGTGGTGGCGGGGAGCTGCTCTGTAACTCGTGCTATCCCTTGCTTTGTGCTGAGCAAGCCTTAGACTGAAGGACTAGCGGAACCACCTCGGGCCGGTAAGCCACAGTTCTGCCCGGCGTCCCTCGGCACGCCCTTGCCGGCTGGTGCCCTGACACCTCAGGATGGGCTCAGGGTCCGATGGAAGGTGGTCATGGAGGGGGCAGGAGGCTGGCTGGCGTCTCGTTTCTCAGCTGCAGGACCAGGCCCTCACCATAGGCGTCGGGGTGAGGCTGGGTGTCCCGGCTGCTCCCGCCCACCTGCTGCATGGCCACCCTCCCACCCCACCGGACTTGTGGCCACCAGGTTCTGCCAGTCCTGGGAGCAGCCGGGGCTGACCGTGTGCCTTCACCCCCGCCCCTCCGCAGGGAGCCGGAGCAGCGGGTCAGCACGCAGCGGCGGGAGCAGCCGGCGAGCCCTGGGCCGAGAGGAGTGCTGGACAGCGGGAGCCAGGGGCAGCGGCAGCGAGTCAGACCACACGGCCCCTAGTGGACTGGGCGGCAGCAGCTGGCGTGAGCGTCCAGCCAGCCAGCTTAGCCAGGCCACGGCTGCTGCCCCTGGCCTCCCCCCATCGCGCCCCCTAACCAAGACACACGTGGTGGTGGGGGGGCCGCCCGGGGGGCCACCCGTGCGGGAGCTGGCTGCCGTGCCCCCAGAGCTGACGGGCAGCCGCCAGTCCTTCCAGAAGGCCATGGGCAACCCCTGTGAGTTCTTCGTGGACATCATGTGAGGGGTACCTGGTCCTGGGCTGCACCCTGCTGGCTCACCAGGGATGCGGGCAGGAATGTGGAGGGCATTTGGACCCCTGACCCTCCGCTTACCAGGGGTTCCAGAACCGCCCGGGCCCCAGCTGAGAGGCTGTTGGGCCCGCCCCCCTCAGCTGGCACCTAGGCTGGACCCCCAGCCGCCCAGGGCAGGGATTTAATTTATTTATTTATTGCCTGGCCTGTGTGGTCTGGGGGTGGGGGTGGGTGCCAGGGCTCCTCCACATCCCAGCTGGCTCTTGGTGCCAAGGAAGGTGTCAACTGGGGTCTCTGGAAGGGGCATGGCCCATGGGGGTGCCCGGCAGAAGCCCCTGCCCCTCAGAGGCACCTTCTGTGTACATCTATTTTAAACATGGAAAAGCATTTAATTTTCTGGGACTGATGTGTGCCGTGTCCTTTCCTCCTGCCGCGGTCACAGAGCAGATGTGGTGTCTGCTCCATCCAGGCTCGCTCACAGTGGGTGGGGTTCCTAGCGGCCACCTGGGCATAGACAGGGACAGTCTCGGGGTCCAGGTGCCCGTGGGCTGAGGCGTCATTGAGGGTCAGGCCAGCAGCTAGCCTTGGGTCTCCACAGAGCGAGGCGGTAAGGGTGCAGGGTGAGGCTCAGGACTGCGGGTGCTGGGCCTGCCCAGGCACTTCACCCTCCTGGCAGGGCCCCTCCCCCGGGAAGAGGGCGGGGGTGTTGCCATGCAGCTGCCGGAGCAGCATGTAGCACAGGGGCAGGTGGAAGGTGGCCAGGATGCCCAGGGCTGAGAGGAGGGTGGCGCCCATCTCCACAGCTGGCTGGTAGTTCACGTGCACGTTGGCAGAGAGGGGTACGTAGGAAGTCCAGGTGAGCAGGTAGGCCAGCGCCGCGAAGGTGAGACTGCGCGCCCCGGTATGGCTGTCGGGTTGGCTCCTCACCAGGAAAGTGCTCAGGAAGCAGAGGGCAGCCAGCACATTGCTGGGCGCATGCACCAGGCCGAAGGCCAGCCAGGAGTGCTGGTGGCACTGCAGCAGCATCTCCGAGGGCAGCACCTGCCCATCGGCCACCACCTGCGGCGGGAAGGCCACCAGAAACCAAGCACACAGTGCCACCTGCACCAGCAGCGCCAGCAGCACCACCAGCCAGGCCCAGGCTCGCTGCAGGCAGCCTTGCAGCGGCCCTGCCCAGCCCGGTGGCAGCGCCGACCCGGCGAAGATCTGGATGGCCTGTAGGAAGAGTGTGCTCAGGCAGCCAGTGAGTGGGAGCTGCAGCAGTGGCTGCTGGGCCAGGCAGCGGGCAGAGCTGGGTCGTCCTGGGAACAGGAGGACACCAAGGCAGCCAAGGCCCAGGCAGGACAGACCGAAGCAAGCTCGAGGTCCGCCTGAGGCTCGCACCAGTGGACTGTGTCGGTGCTGCAGGAAGAGCCCCAGGGCCCCCAGCACCAGGCTCAGCGTCAGGCCCAGTAGGGCCAGCAGCACCAGCACCACAGGTTCCCCCCAGGCCAGGATCCTGGGCGTGCGGGGGAAGCAGCGCGGACTTCGCGCAGGGGACCACTGGTCAGGGGCACAGCGCCTGCAGAGGGTGTCACCTGCGTGCGGAAAGCAGGCACTCTGTCCCTAGCTCACCTCCACGCCCCCCCCTGCAGCTGGCTCTCCCCCACACACACACATCCTGCACCCCGAGGCCAGTAAGCCCCGCCCACCCACATGCCCCATCCCTGCACCAGTCACCCCGACCCTGCCCTTCACCCACCCCAAGGTTGACTCACTCCCCCAGGCACATGATGAGCACACTCCCCCATCCCACCATCCCCATGCTACATGTCTGTTCCCCCCACACACCCCGATGTCCAGTTCATGTGTCCCACGTGTGCCCACCCCACAGCTGGCTCACCGGGGCTGTGCTGGTAGCTGCCAGCTGGGCAGTCCACGCAGTCGTAGCAGCAGGAGTGGAAACCCTTCACACGGCGTACCTGGCCCTCCTCGCACTGCGGCGAGCACTGGGACACAGGCTCCTGGGGGGGTCTGGGCTCAGCCCTGCACAGCGGCCACCCCCTCCCGCGCCTGCCTGGCAGGGCCAGAGCTATTGGCCAGCACCTACCTGGTTCCCTGGCGTATGCCAGCGCATCTGGTTGCGCCGCAGCCGCAGGCGGCCATCGAAGTGACCCACGGTGCGCAGCTCGGGCCTTGGGGCTCCCCACACCCACAGTTTCAGGTCGTACTCCATGGCCACGTTCCCTTGGGCGTCGAAGCTCAGCTCCAGGCCATGTGCACGGAAGCTCACGTTGTACAAGTTCTTCAGGAGCTGGGCAGGAGGCAGGCGGTGTGGACAGCAAAGTGGGTGGCAGCCTCCCAGCCAGGGTCAAGCCCCCTCCCCTCCCAGGCCCAGCCGCACCTGCCACGGCCGCAGGGGCCCCCGGAGGCAGCCAGAGGGGCCGCAGCCTAAAGCATCGTGGAGCGCCTGGGCCACGCCGTAGACGGCGGCATAGGCAGCAAAAGTCTTGTGGGGTGGCATGCCCCCAGACACGTCGTCCAGAGAGATGTGGTCACACTGGGGACAGCGTGGCCCCAGTACATGCTCATCCTGCCCCGACTGCTCGGCCTCCAGTGAGGAGCAGAAAGCGGGGTCAGCGGCCAGGGCCAGGCGCCTCTGCACATAGGCAGGAAACCCGGGCACGGACGCTCCCCGCTGCAGAAAGCCGAGCACCGTGCCTGCCCGGGCCATGTCCGGGAGCGACATGACCTGGTCCGAGGTGAGCCAGGCCTCGCTGGCCACCCACACCTTGGACGAGAGCTTCTGTTGCGTGCTGTGGGTAAAGAGGCTGCGGGCGGCAAGGGGTGAGGCGAAGAGCACCACCACCTGCACGCGGCTCTGGTTCACGCGGTGGAGCAGGTCCAGCACGGGCCCCAGCTGCGGGGTGCTGGCCGGGCCGGGCAGCGGCACCAGTCCCTCGTGGGCCACGCAGATGCCCTGTGTGCTGGCCAGGCTGGAGAAGAGGCTCAGGCCCTGCCGGCCGTACTCATCATCACTGCCCAGGGCGGCCACCCAGTTCCAGTGCAGTGCTCGCAGCAGAGCCACCATGGCCACTGCCTGCTCGCGGTCGCTCGGCACCGTGCGGAAGAAGGACGGGAAGGACTCGCGTTGGCTCAGTCGGTCAGTGCTGGCGCCGTAGCTGACCTGTGGTGGACAGGAACACCTCATGACTCAGGGCCCTTGACTAGGCCGGCTGGGCCACCTGGGCCCGGGGCAGGCTGGGACGCACCTGGGGCATGAGGAAGAAGCCAAAGAACTTGCCGGTGATGAGGGCCAGCTCCGATGAGTGAGGACCGATGACAGCCAGCACACGGGGCCGGTAGCGTATGTACTCACAGTGTGCGGCCACGCGGCAGCTGCCCACTCCAGCCAGGAACTTGAGGCTGGGCTTCATGGTAACCATGGGCTCTGAGCAGGTGTCCAGGAGGTCGTAGCCAAGACGGAGCCCGGGAAGCAGGGCTGAGCTGTTGTTGATCTCCTCCACGGCCATCTTCACGGCCAGCGCCCAGAGCAGGCCCACGGCAGAGAACCTGCGGCAATGGGGCTGCAGGAACTACCTCGGACCTCGCGGGACCCTGCCCACCCACCCACCCACGATATGCTCACCTACCTGGTGCACTGGATGCCCTGGGGCTGGGTCCTGACCCCCAGCCCCGTGTCTGCAGCCGTGCCCAGGGGAAAGAGCCCACCCAGCACGTAGTCACCTCTGGCACTGAGCTGCCGTGACAGGCACAGTGGGGCCGCCAACCCAGGGCCCAGGAGAGCCATAAGGCCGAGAAGAAGGTGCATGGCGGGCAGTGGTGAGCAGCGGCAGGCACCAGTGTGTGTAGATAAGGAGTGTGGACAGGGAGGGGCGAGGATTTGTTTAGTTGCCACAAGCGCCCCACCTCAATTGGCCAGACTCCAGCACTAGCTGCATAGCCGAGCCACACCGGGCCAGACGGCAGGATCTGAATGCCATGGACCATGACCTGCCCATGCCCCCACACCCCACCCTTGAAGGGGAGGTGGGACCCCAGGACATGTGTTGGCCACTGGGTCTGGGCCCTCTGGCTGCTGAGGTGCCGTTCTGCGGGTGTGGTCCCAGCAGCCCTAGGCCTGAGAACTAGCTCATGAGATGCTGCCAGCAGGTGTGCCGCAGGGGCCACGCAAATGAGGGACGGACAGGACGGAAGAGGATGGCAGGAGGTGGCAGGACACCGAGTGGAACCAGATGGGGGTGGCAACCAAATGGGCACCAGCTGCAGGACCAGGTGTCCACACAGCCTAGCTGGGGCTGATTCTGAGCCAGGGTCCAGGCCCTGGGCACCTGCATAGCAGACCCTTCATCACCCAGATTCTCCCCTGGCCAGGCCGGGCATGCCTGGTGGTCTCAAGTCTGGCCGACGATCTTTGCTTGTCCATGCCTGGTGGCGAGGGTCCTGTTGGGTGGCAGCCGCAGACACACACCACGACATGGCATACATGACATTTTACGTGGCACACACATTACACGCACACCTCACTACATATGTGCTCATGGTTCACTTATACATGACACACACACACCCCCAGTCTCCGTCCGCTGGCCACTGGCCTGGCTAGTCCCATCCTGGCTTCTGGGCTGGGGCCTTGCAGTGTGGGCAGATCCTACAGGATGGCTGTTGTGTGTGTGTGGACGTGACCGTGTAGGCTAGCGGGGCTTCACTACACCTGCCAGGGGCTACCAGTGCCTGTGTCCCAGGGGTCCCTGCAAGATACCCTGCCCTTGTGGTGGGCCCTGCTGCCACATAACCCACTTGGAATGCAGCAGGTTCCGTGCCATTTATTTATGCTGGAAAACCACATCCAGTACGTTCCCAGCAGCCCCAGAGTTCACCCCGGGCGTGCCTGCGCCCATATCTATTGTACACGGGGTGTGGGCTCAAGGGCAGGGCAGGAGTGGAAAGCAGCAAAAGGGGCTGGGGGTGGCAGCAAGGACCAGCCATCACCCTGAGGCTCCGTGATGCAAGCAGAGGCAGGCAGGCTTTGCTCCAGCTTCTCCTGTTGCCCTCATCACGCAGGACAGGGCTGACTATGCTGCAGAAGGGACAGAGGAACCCGCAGTGGCCACTGCTGCCCAGGACAGTCAGCTGGGGATGGCGGCCAGCCAGTCGGGGATGGAGGGGCCAGTCAGGCGGGCACCTTGGTGAAGGATGAGAGGGGCACGCAGCAATGAGGTCTGTGGGCTCCGAGTCTATGCTTGTTTATAATGGGGGCCACTGGCAGCTTCTGAGGAACAGTGACATCCCCCACATCACACCCTGTCGAGGCTGGCCTGTGGCAGTGCTGCTGTGGAGCAGACAGGCCGGGACAGTGGCCAGCACCTGTCCTCTCTGCTGCTCCTCACAACAGCCGGGTGGCGGAGGCAGCACCCCTGGGCCCAGTTCTCAGGGATGCCTGCTGGGTGACTGTATGGGCACTGCCGCCGGCCTAGGGCAGGTCCAACAGTGCGTGGTCTTCGTACAGTTTCTGGGAGACGTGGTACACACGCTCAATGGTGGGCAGCGCCTCCCCCAGCATCTCCACGGCCTGCTCGGGGGGGCCCACATTCATGGCCTCCAGGAAGGCCGTGCGGGTGGGCAGTACGCAGAAGGCGAGGGTGGCGGCCCGGCGGACGACCCACGAGTGGTAGGCGGCCAGTGTGGCGTTGTAGGAGTCGGTGCAGAGCGCGGCAGTGCTGGCATCCTGGGGGCTGGTACGGAGCTTCTCCAGGAAGAGGTGGAGCCATTTGAGGGCGCGGTGCAGCCGCAGCACCGTGCGGCAGCCCGAGCTGGGGTGGCGGGAGGCACGCTTCAGGTCCACCAGCTGGTGGCCCAGCTCATAGGCCACCATGGACTGCAGGCTGCAGTACTGGTCACGCTGAGAGCCGGCCCGCAGCTGCCCCATGATCTGCAGCTTTGCCACCAGGTCCTTGGAGATGAAAGCAAAGACGGCACCCATGCTGTTCAGAAACCTGCGTGGGAGATGGGGCCCTGCTCAGCCTGGGCTGCCCAGCCCTGCCCCTCCCCTCAGCCCACACGGCCCTAGAAAGGCCCACCCACCTGACCAGACCCTGCCAGCCGTCCAGGTAGGGGTCCAGCAGCACCTCCTCCTTCTCGTTGAGACATTGTTTGAAGCTGTGCAGGGCGAGCTGCAGATTGAAGTCCTCCTTGGAGCTGTCCATCCTGCACACGGTTGACAAAGGGCCGGCACTCAGCAGCCTGCTGGGCAAGTCCCAACACGGCCCACGCTGGCGGCTGCCCTCTTCCCATGCCTCCTGTGCCCTCGCTGCTGCTTCAGGGCATCCCCGAGATGGCCAAGGGAGCGCCCAGCACCTGCCTGCCTTAGACCCAGGACCGTGGCTGGCAGGGCTCCTGGGGCCTTGATTCCGCGCCTGTAGCCTCTGCCTCAGGGGTCCGAGGGTCCCTGTGAGGAAGGGAGGCCAGGAGCACAGCTTCTAGTGACCCTGGAGATTGCCGCATCCGTACGGTGGACTGACCTGGTTCTTCCTCAGGAAGCTGGGTGGCCACCCTGTCTTGTTGCATGCCTGGCACGGGCAGAGCCCAAGTCTGAGATGGGTGGGGTGGTGGTGCTGAGGCCCAAAAAGTGGCCTTCCTTGGCCTTCCACACTCCCCTCCCTGCCCCAAGCGGGCGGCCCGAGTCCCCAGGGCCACCTTCCTGGCCACCAAATTTCCTGTGGACTTGGTCTACCTTCCCAGGACGCGAGCCAGCGCGCCAGCAGCTGCCAGGAGTCCTTCAAAGCCCGGAACAGAGGAAGGGCAGTGGGTGTGCGGTCGGGCCGGCCAGCTGCCAGCTGGGACCGACGCCGCGGCGGCCAGGCCGCCCGGGAGCCCACGCCCTTCCTAAGGTCAGGCGCGGGGGGCGGCTGCCCGGGCCCCGCGGAGGGCCGGAGGCGGCGGGGCCGCGCAGAGGGTCCCGGCCCCCACTCATCCCGGAGTCCCTGCAAGCTCCGCCGCCGAGAACCTGCTCGGACCCGCAAGCCCCGCTCGGACCCGCGGCCGAGGACCGAGGATGCGGAGGGGACTCGGGTGGGATCTCTAGGCGCCGCGCCCCGCGCCCGCCCCAGGCTCCGGCCGAGCCCCGCCCGGCGGGGTCCCTCACCTGCGCGCTCTCCGCTCACCTGCGGACCGCTCCCGCCCCGCCGCCGCCGCCGCCGCCGCCGCCGCCGCCGCCGCCGCCGCCCCCGCCGCCGCCGCCCCCGCCGCTGCCGCGCCCCACCTCCGCCTGCCGCCGCCGCCCGCGATTGGCTGCCGGCCGACCAATCAGGGTGCGGCCCGCAGCGTGCGCGCCGGAAGCCGGAAGCGCGGGGCTGCGCCTGCGCGGAGTGGCGGGCGGCGGGTGCAGGCGGGATGCCCGAGATCAGGGTGACGCCGTTGGGTGAGTGGGGCGGGGGGCACGGGGGGCGCCAGGCGGGGGGTGGTGGGCGTAAGCGGGATGCCCGAGATCAGGGGCACGCCCCTGGGTGAGTGGGGCGGGGGGCGGCGGGGTGCCCGAGATCAGGGGGACCGCTGGCTGAGTGGGGCTGGGGTGGGGGCGCGGCCTGGGACTTGGCCCTCACCACCGCTCCGCAGGGGCCGGCCAGGATGTGGGCCGCAGTTGCATTCTGGTGTCCATCGCGGGCAAGAACGTCATGCTGGACTGCGGGATGCACATGGGCTACAACGATGACGTGAGTCCCCACGTGCGGCGGCCTGCGGGCTGGGACAGTGGTGGTCGGGCTGGGAGCGCCCCCGCACCCCACGACTGGCTCTGGAGTCCCTTCTCTCTGCTTCCCCAGCGCCGCTTCCCCGACTTTTCCTACATCACCCGCAACGGCCGCCTCACCGATTTCTTGGACTGCGTGATCATCAGGTGGGTGCCCACAACCCCTCCTCTGCCCACCTCGAAAGCTGCCGCCCAGGAACCTTTCTCAGCCCCATCGCTCAGTCTTTCACACCCCCTGTGGGGTCTCAGGTCTCTTGCCCCCCCCACACACACTTGTGGTTCTTACCTGTGTGTTCTTACTCCCTTCCTTCTCTGCCACTTGGCTGCTCCCCAACAATCCACAGAATTTTCTGGGCTGATGGCTGGCCCCTGGGGCCTCTGTCTTGCTGTCTCTCCCCCTACCCATGGGCCCTCCCACTTGCTGCTGTCCCCAGTGTCTTCTCCTTGCTGGGTGCTTGGACTAGTACCAGGATGACATCCGCAGAGGCTGCAGCATGGGGCCCAGGGCTGGGGGTTAGGTTGGCCCAGGCTGACCTGCACTGTACCCCCAGCCACTTCCACCTGGACCACTGTGGGGCGCTGCCCTACTTCAGCGAGATGGTGGGCTACGACGGGCCCATCTACATGACACACCCCACCCAGGCCATCTGCCCCATCCTGCTGGAGGACTACCGCAAGATCGCCGTGGACAAGAAGGGTGAGGCCAACTTCTTCACCTCGCAGATGATCAAGGACTGCATGAAGAAGGTGGTGGCCGTCCACCTGCACCAGACCGTCCAGGTCAGGCAGCACCAGTGCCCCTGGGCCAGAGTTGGACACGGGGAGGCGGGAGAGCCTGCCACTCAGGAGTGAGGCCTGGATGCAGGCAGTGGCCCATGGCTGCAGGGTGGGGAGGCCGCAGGTGCACCTGGCCCCAGGAGGAGGGAGTGGCCCTGTATCGTGGGCCTGGCCTACTGCTCAGCTATGGTCACCTTGTCTTTCCGGCCAACTCTTGGTTCATGTGTGGTGTGAGTACACGTGTGTGTGTACTCGTGTGTTGTGTGTCCGCATTGTGCTTCCCTGTGTGCCTGTGGCTGGGTGTCTCGGGGAAACAGTATCTGGCCAGCATCTGTCAGCGTGCCCGGTGCTGGGGTGTCACCCAGGTAAGTCCCCCTGCAAGCTCCTCTGTCTGCTCTGTGGCTCTCTAGCAGGTTGGCATTGTGCTAGCGCTGTGCTCTGGGGTGCTGTCCAGTGGGCGGCCTCTTGGCTCAGGGCTCCCACCCCTCCTGGCCATCCTCCTCTTAACTGCACATCATCCTCTGGTTCTCCCTGGCAGTATCAGAATGTGTTGTGAAGTGTTGGGGGTGTTGGGTTTCTGGGTGACCACACCCCGTGACGACACAGGGGCTGGTACTGAACCCAGGTTCCCAGCAGCACTTGGAGCCATCTGTCTGACTGCACGCACTGAGTTTCTTTGTTGGCAGTGGGGGGATGGCCCGGCATGGGGGACCCTGTGAGGTGCTGGGGATTGAACTATGACACTATGACATCTGTGCGCAAGGCGAACTCACTACCTGCTCTTCTGTGGCTCCGGCCCTTGTGGTTCTGACTCTTAACCTCTTAATTATTACTTTCCCTCTCTGCTGTTGCAGTGTGAGCGGGAAGGGGTGCCTTGCATTTGATTGTGCTGTTGGGGCTGTGGCCAGACTTGGCACATGAGAGATATCAGAGGTGGGCCTGAGCCCCAGATTCTCTCTCAGGACCTTAGGCATCAACTTTCTGAGTCCAAGACCAGCGGAATCCAGGGCCTGTGTTGGCTCAGAGGAGCACTCCCTGGTTTTGTTTGGCTTTTGGGCCACACCTGGCAGTGTCAGAGGTCACCACCCTGCCACTCCTGGCTTTCTGCTCAGGAATCACTCTTGATGGGGCTCAGGGGGCTATATGGGTGCCGTGGATGGGACCAGGGCTGGCTGTGTGCAGGAAAATGCCCTTTCTTGTCTCTCCAGCCCCTTATTCTAGTTGTTTCTGACCAAGGACTGAATTTCATGCCTGAGCAAACAAGCGTAACAACTCAGCTGCTTGCGCAGAGTTTCTGCCTCCCTCCCCTGAGCACGGCCCTCCCTGCAGGTGGACGAGGAGCTGGAGATCAAGGCCTACTATGCGGGCCACGTGCTGGGAGCTGCCATGTTCCAGATCAAAGTGGGCTCGGAGTCGGTGGTCTACACGGTCAGCAGGGAGCCTGGGGCGGGAGGGGGGCTGTGCGCAGGCACAGAGGAAGCACCTTTGCCTTCTTTGCAGGGTGACTACAACATGACTCCAGACCGGCATCTGGGGTAAGGGGTCCTGCCCAGGGGCGGGGCTGGGGGCCACCTTGCTCCTGGGACCACACCCCTCTGTGTCCTAGAGCTGCCTGGATCGACAAATGCCGTCCCAACCTGCTCATCACAGAGTCCACCTACGCCACTACCATTCGTGATTCGAAGCGCTGCCGGGAGCGCGACTTCCTGAAGAAGGTGCACGAGACCGTGGAGCGAGGCGGCAAGGTGAGGGCGTCTGGGTGAGGCTGGTCCAGGCTCCAGCCCGGGACTGCCTGGGGGTGGGCTGTGCCGCTAGCCTGCCTGGCCGCCCTGCAGGTGCTGATCCCTGTGTTCGCGCTGGGCCGGGCCCAGGAGCTCTGCATCCTTCTGGAGACATTCTGGTGCGTGACCTGGGGTGGGGGATTGGGGGGTTGGGAGGGCTGCTCTGCCGGGAGGGTGCAGTGGCCCCGTCCCACCAAGCCACGGACACTGCAGGTGGAGATGGTGACCCACTCTGGCTGCGGACTCTAGGACCCCCTGTGCCCACAGGGAGCGCATGAACCTGCGGGCCCCCATCTACTTCTCCACGGGCCTCACCGAGAAGGCCAACCACTACTACAAGCTCTTCATCACCTGGACCAACCAGAAGATCCGCAAGACCTTTGTGCAGAGGAACATGTTTGAGTTCAAGCACATCAAGGCCTTTGACCGGGCGTTCGCCGACAACCCGGGACCCATGGTGGGGGACCCTGCCCGCGGGGACAGGCAGGGGGTGGGGGCTCAGCGGCAGGCAACCTGACCTACACCCCACCCACCCCCCCGCAGGTCGTGTTTGCCACCCCAGGGATGCTGCATGCGGGCCAGTCCCTCCAGATCTTCCGCAAGTGGGCAGGGAACGAAAAGAACATGGTGAGGGGGCGGGGGCAGGAGGAAACGGGGCTAGGCAGGCTGGCAGGGGCCCCAGCCAGGCAGCCTTAGCCTCATGTGCCCACAGGTCATCATGCCCGGCTACTGCGTGCAGGGCACCGTGGGCCACAAGATCCTCAGTGGCACACGCAAGCTGGACATGGAGGGCCGGCAGGTAGGAGGCCCACCATCCCAGCAGCTCGGGGCCCAGTGAAGCGGGGCGTGGCTGGGTGACACTGAGCTTGTTCCCGCAGCTGGAGGTGAAGATGCAGGTGGAATACATGTCCTTCAGCGCCCATGCCGATGCCAAGGGTATCATGCAGCTAGTGGGCCAGGCCGAGCCCGAGAGCGTGCTGCTGGTGCACGGAGAGGCCAAGAAGATGGAGTTTCTGAAGCAGAAGATCGAGCAGGAATTCCGTAGGCAGGGCGCCTGCTGGGGTGGGCTTTCCCTCTGGGCGGGGGGCAGGGGCGGCACTCACAGACTCTGCACTCCACCCAGGCGTCAACTGCTACATGCCAGCCAATGGAGAGACGGTGACACTGCCCACCAGCCCCAGCATCCCCGTGGGCGTCTCACTCGGGCTGCTGAAGCGGGAGATGGCGCAGGGTAGGTGGGGCGCGGGGGGCCTGGGCCAGCAGCCCCAGCTGGAGAGGGAACAGCAGGGAGGGTGCCTGCCTTGCACGCAGACAACCTAACTCAATCCCTGGCACCCCACGTGGCTGCCTCCCCCCAAAAAAGACAACTGCCCCTCCCCTGTTCACCCCAGGGCTGCTCCCGGATGCCAAAAAGCCCCGCCTCTTGCACGGCACCCTCATCATGAAGGACAGTGTGAGTGCGGCAGGACGGGGCGCAGGGTGGGGCGGGACATGGCCTGAGCTCCCCTGACCTGCCTCTTCCCCACAGAACTTCCGGCTCGTGTCCTCAGAACAGGCCCTCAAGGAGCTGGGCCTGGCGGAGCACCAGCTGCGCTTCACCTGCCGCGTGTACCTGCACGATTCCCGCAAGGAGCAGGAGACAGCTGCCAGGGTCTACAGCTACCTAAAGAGGTGGGTGGGCACACGTGTCTGCAGTGGCTGGCCTGTGTGTGCACACATCCGTGCACGCCTGCAGCTGCCTGCCCAGGTGTGTGTCTGTGTGTGTGTGTGCTTGCAGCTGCCTATCTGTGTGTGTGTGCCTGCAGCTGTGTGTGTGTGTGTGTGTGTGTGTGTGTGTGTATACACACGTGCGCCCAGGCCCACGCCTCAGACTCCTGCCTCTCCCAGCACCCTCAGGGACCAGCTGCCGGTGTGTCTGGGTGTGTGTGCCTGCAGCTGTGTGTGTGTGTGTTTGTGTGTGTATGCATGCACCTGGGCCTGCGCCTCAGACTCCTGCATCTCCCAGCACCCTCAGGGACCGCTGTGTGCAGCACCTGCCTGACGGTTCTGTGACAGTGGAGTCCATCCTTGTGCAGGCCGCAGCACACTCGGAGGACCCGGGCACCAAGGTCCTGCTGGTGTCTTGGACGTACCAGGTAGGGTCTGGGTAGTGGGTCCCCGGGCTGCCTGGGCAGGGCAGCCTGCCAGCGATGACAGCACCCCTTCTCGCCTCTGGCTGCAGGATGAAGAGCTGGGGAGCTACCTCACTTCGCTGCTCAAGAAGGGCCTGCCCCAGGGCCCCGGCTGAGGCACGCTCTGCACGCCCACACCTGTGTCGGGCGAAGAAACAGACTCAGGGCTGGCTCTTAACACCTTTATTTTTGTTCCAAAGTAAATCTTCCCCACCCCTAGGAAAAACAGAACCAAAGGCGGCTTGTAGTTCTTTGCACCGTTTCCACGCTGGCCCACCCAGTTACCCCCAGTGCTCAGGACTGGGCAGAGGGAGGCCGAGCGTGGCCCAGGCTGTGTGGCTGTCAGTGGCTGGCTGCTGTGTGCGGCCCCTCACATGGCAGATGACCCCAGGATCCCTGGGTATCCTGAGACTGCACCTATGGACAGATAGGCTTGGAGACGGGCCTGCTAGCCTAGTGGGTGCTGGCAGTCACAACAGGCACGGGCAGGCTGCTGCTGGCCATGCTCCGACTAGACCCAGGCAGGGGGCCCATAATGCTACTGGAGCCGAATGACAGTGCAGTGGGGAGGGTGTTTGCTTTTCATGCAGCTGACCCAGGTGTCATCCCACACAACCCCCCGGAGCTTCACCAGGAGTAACCTCTGAACACTGCTGGGTGTTGCCCAAAAAAGAAATTTAATAAAGACTCCTTACCAATGTCCCTGTAGAGCACTGACTTGAGGAACAGGCCATGGGCTGGAGCAACACGTGCCTGCTGCTTGCCTAGGGGGTCCCGGCTCTCCAGTATGGCCTTCACCTGTGCTGGTGTCAGAGCCCCCAGCCCCACGGCCACCAGCACAGCGGTCATCCTCCGCACCTGTTCCCAAGGCCAAGAGTGCCTCTGCGTCCACCCTGTCCCTAGGGTGCCCATCTTCTACAGGAAGGGCTAGATCTCAGCATGACACCCCCACCTGTCCCCAAGGTGCCCACCTGTCTACAGGAAGGGTTAAGTCTCAGCATGATAGATACCCCCGTCCGTCCCCTGACCCCAGGGTGCCCACCTGTCTGTACAGGAAGGACTGGCTCTCAAACTCCACACTCCAGAACTGCAGCCTCCTGGGGACACAGGTTGGGTGGGTGAATGGCAGAGCTGGGGGATTACCCTCTGCATCTCCCAGCACTGGAGAGGAGAGGAGTAGAGGGCACAAAGCTGGGCCAGGCGGGGCTCACAGGTTGGCAGTGTGGCCACAACAGAGGCACCAGCGGATACTCAGTCCACAAGGTGCATGAGAGGTGGGGAGGGGACCCTGGACCAGCTTAGCCTGGTCTCCCAGAAACCCTTTCAGTAGGGGCCAAAACCCACCCATTGAGCGTGAGTGCAGGGCAGGAGCTCCTGCCCCTCTCCCACCCACGGGAGAGTGCCCGAGCTCTGGGCCCTCCTCACCTGCTCTCCTGGGGCAGAAGGAAGGGACTAGCAGGGGTGGGGGACACGCAGGCCAGGCGCAGGGTGCGGACTGCGCTGGGGGAAGGGCTGCCGGCCGACTGGAAGGCGCTGAAGTCGTGGGTCCCCACTAGGTGTTGCGCAGCCTCCTGCATGGCCGCCAGGTCCAGGCTGCTGCAGAGGCACGAGTGGTCAGCAGTGGGCAGTGTCCAGGTGGGCCACTCCCACCTGCACCCACTTACTCTGCCCGAAGCGCCCAGCACCGGTTCCTCTCAAACACGGGCAACTGGCTCCACTGGCGGCAGCCCGTGACCAGGCGGTACAGGTAGGTCCTGGACGTGGCCGCGTAGCGCGCGTGGAAGTCGCCAGGCACGCGGAAGGCCTGCAGCACCCTGCGGAGCGAGCCCAGTGCTGAGGGCTGCCCGCGCCCAGCACCAGGGAGCGGGTCCACGTGGCGGGGCGCTCACCGGATGGCTGGGTGCCGCAGGTGGGTGTTGAGGGCCTGCGTGAGCACCTCGGGGGTGAAAGGCGGCCGGCCCGCGCGGCGCTGGACATCCAGGTGCGCCGCGTTGCTCAGGGCGTGGACACCGGCATCCGTGCGGCTGGAGATGGTGAACTTGACCGGCACGACCGAGTTCAGCCGCTCGGCGGCCTCCTGCGGAAACCCAGGTGGCCGGTGCCGCCGCCGGCCCGGGCCGCCCTCCTCCCGCGGGACGGCTGCTCACCTCCAGGTAGTTCTGGACTCCGGCGGCGCGCTGGGCGCCCCGGACCGCGGCGACCCCGCTGCGGGCAGACGCGGCGGACGGTCAGTGCGTCAGGGCCGGCTCCCGCGCGGCCCAACGCGGCCGCCCGGCCCGAGCCGGCCCACGCCCACCCCCCTTCACCGCGCGCCGCGGGACCTACTTGAAGTCGGTGCCCGCGTATTGGAAGAACACGAGGTAGCGCGCCCGCACCGCCGCCCCCATGACGCGGCGACCAAGCAGCCAGGCGGCTGCACGAGCGTCAGCGCGCCGGCTCCCGTCCCGCCGCGCCGCACCGCGCCGCAAAGGCCCCGCCCCGCCGCGCCGGCCCCGCCCCACCGATCCCGAGGCTCCACAAAGGCCCCGCCCCGCCGCACCGGCCCCGCCCCACCGACCTCGCCGCGCCGCGAAGGCCCCGCCCCACCAAGTCCGCGGGGCCTCAAAGGCCCCGCCCCGCCGCGAAGGCCCCGCCCCCACCTCGTCCCGCCCCGGCCCCGTCTCGGCCCTCCCCGCCGGTCACGCCCCCACAGGCCCCGCCCGCCGCGCAGGCCACGCCCCAGCCGCGCCGTTCACGCCCCCATCCGGCCCCGCCGCGCCGACCACGCCCCCTTACGGCCACGCCCCTATCCGGCCACTCCCGGTACAGTCACGCCCCTGCCACGCCCCCGCCGCACCCGCGCCAGCTGCCGGCCCGGGCGAGGCTAGGCCTAGGGAGCGGGTGCAAAGTGCAGGTCTGCGGACTCGCTGTCAGTCTTCAGGCAGCCGACGCCCGTCCGTTCCTGTGTTTGTCCGCCGCGCCTCGGACCGGAGACTTCCTGCAGGCAGCGGCTGGGCCGGACTAGCTTCCCTGCCGGGGCGGGGCCGCGAGTTGCGTGACGCTCCCCTGCCGTGACAGCGTGCGGCGCACTTGCGCGACGCTCCCCGGCCGTGACAGCGCGCGGCGCACTTGCACGACGCTCCCCGGCGGTGACAGCGCGCGGGCGGGGCGGCCTCGTTCCGGGCGGCGGCGGCGGGCGGGACGGCGGCCGGCCCGGGGATGCCGCTCGGGGCGCCGCGGTCCTCGTGCCAGTGACCGCGCGCCGCAGCCATGACGGTGGAGTTCGAGGAGTGCATCAAGGACTCGCCGCGCTTCAGGTGCTCCCGGCGCGGCGCCTTTGTGCTCGGCGCGGCGCCGCCCCTCGGGGCGCGGGGGCCGGGTGGAGCGGGCGTCGGGGCCCTTTGTGCCCGGCCGGAGGGTGGTCGGGGCCGCGACGTCCACGCCGGCGACCGGCGGGGCCGGGCCCCGCCGCGCCAAATCCGCCGCGCCGGGGCCGCGGGGCCGGAACAAAAGCCGCGCCCGGGAGGGTCACCGCGCGCGGAGGGGGCGCGCGTGGGGCGGGGCGGTGCCGCGCAGCTTTGTCCGGCGGCCGGCGAGTGTCCACCCGCCGGGGCCACCTCCCTGCCGACCACCTGCGCGGAGCTGCGGCCCCGCCGCCAGCCCTGACCCGGGCCGGCCGGGGCCGCGGGCGGGCGTCCGTCTCCGGAACCGCCCGGCTCGGTCCGGCGTCCGGCGTGGGGCTGGGGACAGGCCGCCAGAACCCCCTCCGGGCCCGGGCCCCGTTTGGCAGCGCTGACCCCGGACGGGTGGGGGCCAGGCCGGCGCGCGGGCTGGAGCTGGCCTGGCGCGCCGCCCGGGCCTGCTTCCGTCCTCCCCTCCCGGGGGAACCGACGTGTCTTCAGACCCGGACCGCCTGTCCGGAGCTGCGCCACCTGCCAGCGCGTGGGGCGCCGGTGACAGGACCGCCCCGAGGTCGTGTCCCCAGCTCCGTATTTGGGCACAGGGCAGGGTCCATCTGCTCTGGACACCATCCGCTTTGGTGCTGGGCAGGATGCAGTCTCCACCGTGCCCCTGGGAGGTGGCTGGTCCCCTTCTCCCCAGGGCTTATGCATAGGGGTGTGAGTCTGTCAGGCCCCCAGTTCCGGGTCCCCACTGCCCGCTGTCCGGCCGCAGACATGCAGGGCCTGGACTTCAGGCCATTGCCTCCCACCCCAGCTCCTTTGGGAGGGCTCACCCTTGCCCAGGGCACCTTCTCACCTTCCACTTGGGTTTCCTGCCAGAACATTGACCACTGCATGTGGGGCAGGAGGGACCTTCGTACCCCGCTGAAATTTCACGAGGTCTGGGAGCCCAGAACCTCCCTCCTGCTGGACCCTGGGTCCTACTGGGCATGTGACCTGTGCTCTAGTTGTCCCAGGCCTGGGAAGCAAGACCCTGCCTAGGCTGGGGACCCCAGGAGGAGCTTTGACTAAGGGTCTAGTCACTTCCAGACAGGCCAGGGGGGACCCGCTCTGCTGGCCTGGTTCTTTCTGCCCCCTCCCCTGGGTGGGGCTTCAGGCGCTGAGTCACAGCTTGGGTGGGAGAGCCAGCCTGGCCCGCCACCTCCTAGCCTCCCCTGCTGGGAGCTGGGGTCCTGGCCCACCTGCTCTGCAGACCCCGTGCCTGGCCCAGCAGCTCTAAAGACCCTGTGCCTGGCCCACCCAGCTGGCAGCCTTGCTGTGGGGGTGTGTCTCTGCCATCTCTGGGTTCCTGGTCCCGAGGAGAATCCAGGTGCCAGCCACACCCCTCCCAGCTCCGGAACCAGAGGCCGCCCTGGAAGGTGGGGCAGCCCAGAACCTCCTCACTGAGGAGGCTCCAGAACCTGCCTCTGTGAGGCCAGCCTCCTAGACCATTGTCCCCAGCTCCGTGCCCAGTGAGCAGAGGGGCGCCAGGACCCTGGCCACACACCTCCTGTGTCATGTGTGTCACGAGTGGTTTCGGTCCATCTGCCTCGAAGCCTGCTCTGGCCCTGCTGCTGAGGTTTCACCTTAACTCTCTCCTCCCCAAGCGCGGCAGGGCGACCGTTTGCTGTTTTGAGTTTGAGAGAGTCGGGGTACCCCGATCTGTATTCTCCCTGCACTGCCATAGTCAGAGAAAGCAGCTGAGTTGGGGGTTCGGGACCCCTGGGTCCATCTGTGCAGGGAGGTGCAGAGGGTCAGCACCTCCAGGCGGCTCAGACCAGCTGACAGACCCCAAGGGTGCTTATGAGGCTGAGTGTCCTGAACCCCCTGCCCTGCCCCCTGGGCTGGGCCGGCAAGAGCAATGACCGTAGGTCTCAGGGGTACAGGCAGTAGGCCCCCTGGAGAAGTGAACTCACACGTGGCCTTGTTGCAGAGCCACGATCGACGAGGTGGAGACAGATGTGGTCGAGATTGAGGCCAAGCTGGACAAGGTGGGCTTCGTGGGGTGCATGAGCATGCAGGGCCCTCTGCCTCCCTGCCCACATACAGCCCCTAATCCACACATAGCCCCTCAGTCACTCAGGCTGCTGCTGGGCTCAGGGTAGGGAGAAAACTGGCCCACGCTGCCCCTGCCATCCTCACAGTGCCCATCACCGGGGGACTGCGGCCTCCAGTACTGTGGACCCAAGGATGGGGGCCTGACCGTGTGCGTTGGGTCTCAGCAAAGAGCTGCCCCATGGGAGCCTACTCCCTGTGCTCCCCATGCTCCGCTGTGTCCCGCTGTGCTCCCTGTGCTCCCCGTGCTTCCCCGTGCTCCCCTGTGCCCTGCTGTGCTCCCCGTGCTCCCCCATACACCCTGTGCTCCCCATTTCCCCTGTGCTCCCCACACACCCTGTGCTCCCCCATCTCTCCCCATGCCCTCTGTGCCCTGTCTGCAGCTGGCCAAGCTATGCAGCGGCATGATCGAGGCGGGCAAAGCCTATGTCACGACCAACAGGCTCTTTGTCAGCGGCGTCCGGGACCTGTCCCAGCAGTGTCAGGGGGACACTGTCATCTCGGTGAGGGCAGCTGGCCTCCGCCCTCTGTCTGGGACACCTCGCTGATGGGGGGTGTGGTGAGAATGTAGGGTAACTTGGCAACTCTGAGCTGGACTCCTGTCCCCGCAGGAGTGTCTGCAGAGGTTTGGGGACAGCCTGCAGGAGATGGTCAACTACCACATGGTGAGCCCTGTGCTGCGAGTGGGGTCTGCGGCCCAACCCCATTGAGGTGGGGGTGCACAGGGGCCTGGGCGGGGACAGAGGCAGGGGCAGTGTCATCTTGCAGCTGTGAATGGTCATACACAGGAGGCTGGGGGGCAGACCAGGGCCTGGCACCTGCCAGCACCCCTCCCCCCAGGGAAGCTCCGAAATAAATCCGCTCGCTGGACCGTTTTCCTGTCTGTCTGCTCTGGCAGGCGCGCCCCTTCCTTCCCTGCGTGGTGCCCGGTCTGGGCCATCCTACCCCCCATGCCACCCGGCCCAATGCCAGAGCTGTGCCAGGCTGTTCCTGGGTGCCCAGTGAGCACCTGCCCTGTTGTGCTGGGTGGGGGATGAGGGGCCATCAGGGACAGCTTGTGGGGGCCAGGTGGTCACAGCCCAGAACTGGGGCGCCCCTCACCCCCAGGTCCTCGGAGGCCCTTCTGGCCTGAGGCTGGCCCCGGACACAGGGCTGGGCTTCTTGTGGCTCTGTGCTAGGGACATAGAAGGGCCTGGCCGCGGGCTCTGTGGGAATGGACCCCAATGTGCATCTGCACCCGCCGTCCCCAGATCCTGTTTGACCAGGCCCAGAGATCCGTGCAACAGCCGCTGCAGAGCTTTGTGAAGGAGTAAGTCCTGGGGCCTGCCAGGGTCCAGGCTGGGCGGGGACCGCACAAGCTCCCGGATCAGTGCCTGCCTGTGCTGGGGGACCGTGAGCCGGGCAGCGGGCAGGGCAATTCAGGCAGAGGGGCGGGACAGAGGGTAGGGGGAGCTCACGTCCTGTACACCCTGCGCCACTGGCCCCAGGGATGTCCGCAAGTTCAAGGAGACTAAGAAGCAGTTTGACCGCGTGCGTGAGGACATGGAGCTGGCCCTGGTGCGCAACGCACAGGCCCCACGGCACCGGCCACACGAGGTGGAGGAAGCCACAGGAGCACTGACCCTCACCCGCAAGTGTTTCCGTCACCTAGCCCTGGACTATGTGCTTCAGGTCAGCCCGGAGCGGCTGGAACAGGGTGGGGTGTACGGAGCCAGGTGGAGGCAGGGGCTAATCTGGGCACTCTCTCCTCCTGAAGATCAACGTCCTGCAGGCCAAGAAGAAGTTTGAGATCTTGGACTCGGTGAGTGGCCGTGGCCCGGGGCTGTGCGGTGCCGCGGGCCACCCTGAGCATGCCTTCCCCGCAGATGCTGTCCTTCATGCACGCGCAGAGCGGCTTCTTCCAGCAGGGCTATGCTCTGCTGCACCAGCTGGAGCCCTACATGAAGAAGCTGGCG